CCACAGAGAGTCAGAGTATGGGACACCCAGCAGGGGCCTGGGGCTCCGCGGTTGGGGGCCCCCCCTGCCCCACAACGGGATGGTCACAGCGGATCTGGCCCAGACGCCGACCCTGCGACCCTGGACTTCCTGGGGGCGGGATCAGGGTGCAGCTCCCGCCTCAGTTTGCTCATCTTCAAAAGAGGGGCCCCCGCCCCGTGGGGTCGGTGTGGGGTCTCAGAGAGGGGACCTGCCTAACAAGCGTTAGGAGGTGGGGACACAGAGCCCCTCGGGGCCTGGGGGGCCTGGACTCCCCGTGGCTGGCAGTGGCCGTGCGTGGCTCTCCGTGGGAATGGGGACCATCCGTGGGGTTGGCTACCCCGACCAGGTACTGGGTTTGGCTGGCCCCTGGGTGTGGTCCCGCCCTTCTCTGAGCCTCAGTCTCCTCACCTGCAAAGTCGGGTCCCCGTGCAGGCTCTGCCCGGTTCTGTCTCCCTCAGCTGCCCTGACAACTAGGGAGGGGAGCCTGGGGGTCATCTTGCCGCCTGCCCCCCTGCCACTCCAGAGTAAGGCCGAGGTGCCCCGAACCCCCCAGGATGGGTGGGGGTGAGGGCCAGCGCCCAGCCCCCTGCCGGCGGCCGCCGGCCCAGCTCTGCCGCAGCGTGGAGCACGAGATGCATCTGGACAGCAGGCCCGGCCCCCACCCAGCGTCCCCCCACTGGCCGCCTCCTCTGCACCCCCGCCCCCTGATCGGCCCGAGCCGGCCTGCACCCCCGGCGGGCCCTCGGGCCAGCTGGCCTCAGCTGGCCTCAGCTGCCCCAGGGGCCAGGGCGGGTCAGAGTGGCCGGCCAGGCGCCCAGGAATGCGGGGGTCTCGGCTGCCGCTCCGTCAGGCTCTGCGGCCTGGCCTGTGTCTGCCGGACGCGGGCCCCGCCGGCCAGGCTGTCTGGGTCGGCCTGTCCACACCTCTGTCTGAACCCGGAGCTGTCTGTGCGTCTGTGTCTGGATCTGTCTGTCTGTCGGAGGTCGGGGCTCCCCACCCAGCTTCACCTCTGACGCACAGCGTTGCCTGGGCAACACCTTCCTGTCTGATTGCGTCTGTGCGTCCCTGTGTCTGCACACCGGCCAGGTCATCCCGCCCACAGCGCTCCCTCCCAGGCCCAAAGGCTCAGCTGGGACACCGCCCCCCCTACGCCCCGCAGGCCCCCGGCAGCCCCGCCCTCTGCCCAGCCAGACCCGGAGTCTGAGTGCAAACCCTGACTGTCAGTCACTCTCACACATTCCTGGGAGAGGGGCCGTCGGCCCGGACTCCAGTGAGCCTTTGGCTGATCAAAACCTTTGGAGACGTGCTTGCCGCAGAGCTCTCCCCGCACGTTCCTGCGTTGGAAGGAGTGGGAGGCACGTGGCGGCCCACTGTGGCCGCGGGCGCGGCGCCCCTCCACGCGATGCCGCTGTGGGAAGGAGCTGGGGGCTCCGTTGCGGCTCTGCAGGGACCCCGGGGACATCCGAGCGTCGGGGAAATGTGGTCGCTCTGGGGACAGACCACTCGGTGAGGCAAGGGGGAAGGAAATCTGTATTTGCCTAGATTTTCAGAAAGAAGCAATGGAAGGACCTCCCCACAATGGAGGACGATCACCCTCTGCACCATGCGGGGGGGGGGCAGAGGGGGCAGCGAGACCCCTCAGAGTGCACCTGGTTTTATGCTCTTGACTTTGGAACAAATGATTTCTGCACCTAAAATTCACATGCAAACCTATTTTTAAAAAGATAACCCTAACCAGTCCTGGCTGGTGTGACTCAGCAGACTGAGTGCTGGCCTGAGAACCAAAGGGTCGCGGGTTCGATTCCCAGTCAGGGCACGTGCCTGGGTTACAGGCCAGGTCCCCAGTAGGGGGCGCATGAGAGGCAACCACACGCCCATGTTTCTCTTTCTCTCTTTCTCCCTCCCTTCCCCTCTGCCTAAAAATAAATAAGTAAAACCTTAAAAAATAATAACATTAATTGGAATAAAAGAACAGAAGTGTCAGGTTAGTGGGGAAACAAGCAACTCTAAAACAGCTTTCCACTCCAACCCCACAGGGATGAGAACAACAGCCTGCAAAAGTGCAAGTGGGCACCACGTTGCGTTCGGCAGACTCGGCGGGGAGAATGCTGGCGGCGTTACTTCTAATTATCGGGTGTAACGGAAAACACAAGTAACGGAGGGGCGTCATCGGGGAAGATCATCACTGCACCAGCGACACAGACACCAAACCCCAACCAGGAGAAACCCTACAGTCTCTCGTCCGAGGTGGAGCTAGCAGCATGACACGTTTTAGTTTTGTCTTCCTAAAAAATAAAAACTCCCCCGCTCCGTTCCCTGGAAACACCCAGAATGGACGGACACCCCAGGGCAGTGGGCACCCCAGGCCTAGACTGAGCGCTCTGCAGACCATCTGACAGACCCCGGGGTCACCGACAGGCGACCAGAAGGGCGCCCGGGGCGTCCCGGGCCTGAGGGCAGAGCGCCCTGAAAGGTGAGTGGTTCCGAAGAAAAGCAACACAGCAGCCCCCTCGGAGGGGCCTCCCACCCCACAGTGCCCTCGGGACCAGCTGAAGGCCCCAAGGACAGGGAGGGCCACAGCCCTGTCTGAAGGTCGGGAGGTCACGTGACACTGTCAAACACCCTCGCACCTCGGGGGCTCCCGCATCTCCCCCCCCCAGACTGCAGTTTTGGGTGACCGCCTCGACCAGAGGGAAAGTTCTCGAGAGAAGGCTGGAGCCGAGGGAATGAACACACAGGAAATGGTAACGTTTGAAAAGCCACCGTTCGCCGCCGCTCAGGAAACAATGGCTCTGGGAAGGGCCCCCCCCCCCCCGCCCCCGGGACCGCTAACAGCTTTGGGTGGGAGGGCAGCGTCGCCACAGAGGACCGGTGCTGGCGGCGGCTGCACCCACGCGGCCCCATCTCAGCGGCGCCCCACGGGGACCGCAGCCGCTGGCCCCGAGGGTGACGGGGGTGGAAGCCAGCACAGAGGACAGAAAGGCAGTAGAGCGGCGTGTTCGTTCGAGCCACGCGCGAGGAAACCCAGCCTGCTCTGGCCCGCGGAAAACTCCCAGAGCGACGACCCACTTTCTTCCCCGAGCCGCGGGCGCACGGGGGCGGAGCACGGCGGGCAGCGGGCTGGAGTCGGAGGGGCCGACCGCGGCTGGTCCCGGAGCGGGCCAGCCAGCCGTGAAAAGTCATTTTGGAGATGATTGCCGAGAGCTAAACACAGACCAGGCTGGGGGTTTGTTTGTTTTTGTTTGGGGGCGTCCCCATCTGTCATGTTGCGCACTCAAGGGCTTGAGTCAGCAGACAGACTCCGGGCCCCTCGTCGGCGCCCCCAGCAGAGGAGATGGGCCGGCCTCACGGAAGGCCACCGCCGCTGGTTTGTGGGAGGGGCTTGCTTCGTGAGCCAGGTGCCTTCGAAGGACGGTGAGCACCTCCGCGGCACCTCACCCTGCACCCTCCCAGCCAGGAGGCGTTAGGTCTTCAGCTGGTTTGTCAGCCCCGGGCTGGGTGGACCAACCTCCGTCTGACCAGAGGACAGCCGGAGGCAGCTTGTTCCTTCTCTCCACTTGTTTGCGGGACATTTTCCACTATAAAGAGTTCACGAAAGCCCCGACTGGTGTGGTTGAGTGGGCTGAGCGCCGGCCTGTGAACTAAACGGTTCCCAGTCAGGGCACAGGGTTGCAGGCCAGGTCTCCAGTAGGGGGCGCACGAGAGGCAACCACACACTGATGTTTCTCTCCCTTTCTCCCTCCCTTCCCCTCTCTAAAAATAAATACATAAGCTTAAAAAAAAAAAAAAGAGTTTGCAAAGAGCATGTCCCTCAACCTAGGAATCCCACTTCTAAGAACTTATCCTGGAAAAGTATTTGAGGTAGGTTCTGTAATTCAAGGGCTTCCCATTTCTTAGCTACAAAAAAGCCACTTTTAAAAACATAGGTGCTTACAACGCTGTGTTCTTTAATGTGGACAGTGTAACCGTGTAGACAGTGTAACCATCAGAAAGGGACTGGTCTAGTTTGGGAAGACGAGAAGCTCTGAGGCCGGCCACACACCCACGCGAGTCCACCCCACACCACCGCACCACACACTGAAAACCGGCATCCCACTGGCCGGTGCGGCTCAGTGGGTTCAGCATCATCCCGAAAGGCAAAGGGTCACTGGTTCGATTCCCAGTCAGGGCACAGGCCTGGGTTGCAGGTTTGGTTCCCAGCCAGAAATCGTGTGAGAGGCAACTGATCCCTTTCTCTCCCTCTCTTTCTCCCTTCCTTCCCCTCTCTCTAAAAATGAATCAATAAAATCGTAAAAAACCCAAAGAAACAAAAACCTAGCTCAGCCCTGGTTGGTGGGGCCCAGTGGATTGAGTGCCGGCCTGCGAACCAAAGGGTCACTGGTTGGATTCCCAGTCAGGGCACCTGCCTGGGTTGTGGGCCAGGTCGCCAGTAGGGGGCGCATGAGAGGCAACCACGCTCTGATGTGTCTCTCCATCCCTTCCCCTCTGTCTAAAAATAAATCATGGATCGAGCTGGGCTTGTGAACCAAATAGTTGCCACTTCGAAGAGGCAACCACACATTGCCATTTCTCTCCCTCCCCTCCCCTCTCTCTAAATAAATAAGTAAATAAATAAACTCTTTAAAATATAAAATAAAGATAACGTGGCTTTAAAAACGAGTCACGACGGCAGGTTCCGTGCCTCATGTGCCTGCCACACTGAGAATCGCACAGAAGAGGGAGCCGTTCTGTCCCATGGCCCGGTGGGGCTGCAAGTGCTGCTGCCCAAGGAAATTCGGGGCCGTGGGACGATAAGGACGACTGTCGGGTGCAGGAGCAGGAGCAGACCCCACTCTCCGCTGTCCGGGCCACTCTGAACACGGGTGAGCCCGCCCAGCCAGGCCGGAGGGCGCCATCCTCTGAGGGGTGCCCGACGCCCCTCCCGGGCGGGCCCGGCTGCGAGCAGTGGGGAACGACCCTGTGGGGTGTGTGTGTTGCAGGCTGTTGATGGAGGAGGGGGCGGATGACAGCGGGGACGGTGGTCATCACCGGGGGCATCTTGGCCACTGTGATTCTGCTCTGCATCATCGCGGTCCTGTGCTACTGCCGGCTGCAGGTACTGGGGGGCTGAGGGTGGGGAGCCCCCCAGAGGCCGGGGCCCAGGCGGGGACCCAGGCAGACCTGGAAGCAGCTGTAAAGCAGACGGCCCTTGCCCGACTCCCCCTGTGGGGCTCGGCGACCGTGCTGCCCAGGGCGTCCCCAGTGCTGGGGCACAGAGAGGGTCAGGGCCTCAGCCAAGGGCACACAGCCTTGGGCCCTGCTCCCCTTTCCCCACCCACACGCCAGGGCAGCCCAAGGGAGGGGGAAGCTACCTGCCAGTCGGGGCAGCACGGCCGGTGCCCAGGAACCACAGCGGGGCCAGGCTGCCCGGCTCCCCCATGCCTCAGTTTCCCCATCTGCACAGCGCCCGCTTCTGGTTGCCATGCAGACTTAGGAGGGAAGCCGTCATCACACGGTATTTCATGGGGCGCCCGCCTGGACGAGCTCCCCCCAGGGGGAGGCTGGCTGCGGGGACGGGGCGTCGGTGGGGAGTGGGTCTGCAGCCCTGCCCCCTCCCGCCCACAGTACTACTGCTGCAAGAAGGAGGAGCGGGAGGAGGACGAGGAGGAGCCTGACTTCGCTGTGCACGCTGGCCTGCCCCCGCTGCACTGCAACCGCAACCTGGTGCTGACCGACGGGCCCGCGCTCCGCCCGGCCGCCTCCGGCCAGCGGTCCCCGCAGCCCCGCGCCCTCTGCCGCAGCTGCTCCCACTGGGAGCCGCCCACCTTCTTCCTGCAGGAGCCCGAGGACCAGGGCGTGCCCAACGGTGGGGAGCGCGTGGCCTACCGGACCCTCAGCCAGGAGGACCTGGCGCTGCCGCCCGGGGCCTTTGGGGGCCTGCAGGTGCCCAACCCCAACCGCCTCTCCGCCATGCGGGAGGCCTTCTCCCGGAGCCGCAGCATCAGCACCGATGTCTGAGCCGCCCACCCCTCACCCCTCCACCCCCAACCCACCTCCCAGCAGGTCCCCACGCCATGGAGGGGTCCCCATGGCCCGCCAGCCTGGCCCCAGACCCGGACCTGGGCTTGGTCCCGCCTTCCTGGCACCCCTGTCCTGGCAGGGCCCAGCCCTCGGGGGGCTCCGGGGCCCACAGCATGGATAAGGCCAGGGCAGGCTGGCAGGGCCGGGGGTAGGGATGGCCGAGCTGGAGGAGAGGCGGGCGTGACGTGGCACAGGTGAGCACAGCCCCCCCAGGGGAGGACAGCGGGCGAGGCAGGGTCCCGGCGCCCGCCGCCATCATGCAGGTATAGTGGACGGTGGCCTCCACCTCAGCCCAGCCAGCTGGCCATCTCTGGCTGCATGGCCAGCCCTGTCCCTCCCTTCCTCCCTCAGCCTCAGGCAACCTACCTCTTCAAGGAAGGGGTGGCCACAGAGAGACTCGGGGCCCTGAGCCCTCCTTCCCTGGCGATTTCAGACCAACTGACCCTCCAACCAGAACAGCGGGCGGGGCTCTGTCCCCCCAACCCCACGCACACCCCCGGCTTCCAGGGCCAGCAGCCGAGACCCAGGTTGGGCTGACCTCTCTGCAGAGCCCCCTAGACAGGGCAGTTTCAGGGGTGGCTGGGCCTTGGGACGCCTAGGCCCCCCCCGGCCTTTGGGAGAAAGGGAGGAGAGGCCAGTTCTCAAGCACCTGCTTCAGGTGGACACTGAGAGGCGTCCCTCAGGCCCGTGCTGGTAGGCGGATGGTGCCGTGGACCAGCGGCCACTGGACCCACGATCCGCCCAAGACCTGGGGCGGGCCCTGCCGTTGCGGCTCAGCCTCCAGGCTGCTCTGGTCCCAGCGGAGAGTCCCAGCTTCTCTCCCTGTGCCTGCTTCCTGGAGGGGATTGGGGAGCAGGGAAGGACCCAGCCCTGCCCCCCACACCGCCCTGCTCCGTGTGAGGACCTCAGCTGAGCCCACTCTGCTCTGAGCCCCCAGCAGAGCCAGGGGCGCCCCGAGAGCCCATTCCCAGCTCCCTCTCTCTGACAGGGAAACGATGCCCCATGGCCACCCTGGAGAAGCGCCCCAGACCCGGGGCGCCCACCACGGGGAGCGCAGCCCCTCACCCCTGCAGAGGCGGTGGCCCCTCTCTCCAAAGCATGCCCCCCTCCCACCCTCTCCAGGGCCCTGTCTCTGGAATTCCAGGCAGGGTAGCCCCCGTCTGCCCGGGGAAGAGGCACCGAGCCCCCAGCCCCCTGCCCCTCCACAGGACAAACCTGTGAGGGCAAGGCTGTGGGCAGCCTGCGGGGTCTCACTGGAGAGCTGGGACGGCTGGACGGGGCGTGCGGAGCTACTGAAGACTTGCTCTTTCCAGCCGCCTTGACATGTTCCCTCTTCTTCCTCTCTGTTCCTGCCTCTGTGCTGACGCGCTTCCCGGAGCCCCCACGCCCCCTCCCTTGTGGAACCCACACGTCTGTCTCTGATGCATTAGCTTGGGGGTGGGGTGGGGGTGGGGGGCGAGGGCCCGGAGGTGGCACTTCCTGTGGCTGTTCTGTTGTCCTTCCCTCCGCTGGTCTCTGTCCTCTGTCGAAACAAACGAAGCGCCACCCGGGCGCGTGCTGGGCTGCGGGGAGCCACCCTCCCCCCAGAAAACCAGAGAGCCAATAAACTTGTCTTTGACACCCCTTGACGCTGTCTGCAGCCTGCCTGGGGTTCCGGGCCAGCAGCCCGAGCTCTCCCTGGAACTTTCTGGAAAGGGCTCTGGGCAGCCCAGAGCCAGGTGGAGCCCATCTTCTCCTGTCCAGCCCACGGGGTCAGGGCTCTGCCCAGAGGGGCAGCTGTGGCCAGCCTCCTTCAAGTTCGAGTTCCTCTGGGGGTCGGTGTCCTTCTTCAGAGAACAGGGGCCACTGGCCTGGGTTCTGAGCTCCTGGACAAGGGCTGTGGGTGACAGGCAGGGTCACCTGGGGCACGTGACCGCCATCTCTGCTGTAGAGTTGGCGGGAAGGAGGACAGAGGAGAAGAGGTGGGAGTGGGGAGGAGGAGGAGGAGCGGGGTCAAGGTCAGAACACAAGAGGGCGGGGGCACTGGATTACGGTGACCTTGAGCACACCACCCTGAACACTGCAGGGTGTCTCTGAGCCGGTCCCAGGTCAGGGTGGGCCGGCCCTGCATCCTGGGGAAGCAGACCCTGCCCCCTGCCCCCCTCCACCTGCCCCCAAAGGAGCCGCCCCGCGGCACCCTCAGCCTCGCGTGGCCTGGCTATTCTGCGGCGGGCGGACCCCTGGGTCCTCCCTTGGCTGCGGTGTCCACGTTTGTAGCATCCTGCACACCCCTCGGCTCTCTATCCAGGCTTCGTGCAGCCTGTTAGCGCTTCTCCACACTCCGCCCCCCCCCTCGTCTGGGACAGCCGCTCCTGTTGCTGGGCCAGGCTAAACATCACCTCCTCCAGGAAGCCCTCTTGTGACCGTGCCCCCGAAGTCCAGATTAAGTAGTCCTCCTACAGGGCCCGGAAACAGGTATGTGGATGGTCCCCAGGTGCCCTCCGCTCCTCCTCTGCTCTGCCCAGCTCACCTGGGGGCAGGTGCTTCAGGTTAATTACAGAGCGCCCGCCAGCACCCCCACCCCGTGTCCTGCCCCGCCAAGCTCCCCACCGGTCCTCCCAGCCCCATGTTTCACTGGGACCCTTCCACCCCCAAGTCCCGCCATCGATGGGCTCACGGACCCGACTGAATTCTGACCGCAGCACCCACGTCCTGATGCCCCCCAGTGCCCGCGCCTGCAGGACCCCCACTCCGTCACCTTCCGTCACTCCTCGGGGAGCCGCTGCAGCCCGGCCTCCGGCCCCAGCCTGGTCCCCAGGCCTGTCTTCCTGAGCTGGACAGCCCCACCCTGCCTCTCATGTCTCGCCCCCACCAGCCAGAGCCACCAGAAACACGCGACGCTGCCATAAATACGACCACTTTATTAACATACAGGGGGCAGTGACAGAGACCACGGAGCAGGAGCAGGCACAGGGGAGAGGGCGCCTCCTCCCGGCACACGGTGCGGGAGGTCCCTCGGTGTGCGAGCGTGTGTAAGGGGCACCGGGCGCCAAGTCGGGGTGGGAGCTCCTCAAAAGGGGCAGACCTCCGCGGGACCCGGCCGGAGGCCCACCGGCACCTTCCTGCCGGCCCCACCCCCGTCCACCCCTGTTCCGGAGGCAGACACGACCTTCCCAGGGCTGAGCCCAGAGAAGTGAGGGGGACCGGGGGCAGGAGGCCTGGTCACCTCCACCTCTGGGCCCTGCGCCCCTGGGTGCTGGGGTGTGGGGTCCGCAGAAGCGCCGCCCCGGGGCTCAGAGCAGCTGCCCGCACACGGCCAGGGCGGCTGTCGGGGGAGACAGTCCGCACTTGGGGCCCTCCTTCCCAGGGGCGAGCAGGGGCTCAGCGTCCGGTCCCGCAGCCCGGGCGCCCTGCAGCCGGGGGTCCGTGGAGGGGCCACAAGGCTGTGGCAGCCCACGGCGAGGCGCGTAGGCGTAGGGCCGGTGGCTACCGGGCCTAGGAGTGCGGGGGCCTGCAGGAGCGGCAGCAGGCCTTGCTGTAGTACCAGTGGCCGCACAGGTTCACCTTGATGGCCAGGGCACAGTTGGTGCCCGGCTGGTCCTGGCAGCTGTCATCTGGGCGGGGACATGGTGGAGGGGCGTACAGGGGTGAGAATAGGGCTGCTGCCCCTTCCTGTGTCTCTATTCCTCGACGCGGGGACGCTCTGGGGGCCCCGGGCCACTGAGCCCCTGCAGGCAGGAGGCCCATTCCTGCCCTTTCCAGGTTTGGGGGCCATGGGCCTCTTTCTCTGCTGCTTCTCTCCGACCCCCGCCCGTCCCCGGGGATGTCGGGGGGCTGCTGGACCTGCGCACATGCAGGGAGGGGTGTGCGCACGTCCAGGGGCCAGGACTGGAGGGGCCGCTCATTGATCTCAGCCCCCAAAGTACCCCTGGGTGGCCACAGGGCCAAGGCCTAGCTCACCCCTGCGCACAGTGCCCCTGGAGGCCCGGAGACACACTGCGTGCCCAGCCCTGGGCTGCTGGCGGCTGCCCCAGATTCCTGCCCCTTTCTCTCAGCTGCCCCCCCACCTTCCAAGGCCAAGGCTCTGTCCATGGTGCAAGGCTCAGCACCGCTCCCAGGATGCTGAGCACCCTCCAGGCCTCACCCGCAGCCCCTGCCACCCCCGCCCAGCCAGGCCGGCCCTTCCAGCAGCAGCCTCGCTCCTCCCTGGCCTGCCCTGGTCCCCCCCCCCCCCGCCCCCTGGCAGATGCCTGCGAGTCCTCGGGCCCTGGCTCCACCCACACCTCCTGGGGAGGCCCCCGCTCACCTGGGGGCTCCGTGGGACAGGGCTGCAAGTCACAGGCCTGCCTGCCGACTGGCTTCACCAGGGGGTCGCAGCCACGGACGATGTCGGTGCCCTGGTAGCACTTCACGTCGCGCATCCGCATGCCCACCCCACAGGTCTTGGTGCACTGAGGGGGAGACGGGCAGGGGACCCCAGTCTCGCCGGCTGCTGCATCCCAGCGCACACAGGCGCACAAGAGCTCGGGGGCATGGGGACCGGAAAGGGCACCGGCCGCTGGCGGTGAGCTGACGCTCGGCCCCAGATAGTGTGGCCTCCGTTTCCCCACCTGCACAGGAGGGCGGTACACCCCCCCCCCCGGGGCCTCTCCTGGGTCCTCCGGTGCCCAGGACACACGGGGCCAGGGCCGGGGGGAGCTGGTCTTTCGCTCCGGAACAAGGCTGCGTGTCGTGGGCCAATCAGACGGATCCTCCACCCCCACCCCCACCCCCACCCCCACCCCGGCTCGCTGTCCAGATGTTGCCCTCGGAAAACCCCGCCGAGCTACTGGGACAGCTGCTGACCCCAGTTAGCTCTCCAGCCTCCTGCCAACAGCCTCCAGCTGGTGGCTCTCTCTCACTCCCCCACGAGGCTGACCCCACATCACCCAGGCCTGTCTGGGACCTGGGCCCTCAGTCCCTTCCGCACAGCGTGAGACGGAGCAGGGGTGGCCGCCACCACCATACCTGCTCCCGGCTTAGGGACTGGCCAGGGCCGGGGGCAACGAGAGGCCAGCTCCACGCCACGCACGGGGGACGGTCAGCATTGGGCAGACACCCTCAGGATGTGCCCTGGCAGCCAGGCCTCTGTTCCCGGGCACCAGATGCAGTGATGTGTTCCCTACCACACCCCCATGCTCAGGGGCCTCTCTGGGCCTCCCCACCTGCCCTCTTGAGACTTCAGGTGCCCCTGGGGGTGGGGGGCCTGGGGCACGGGGCAGCGGAGCAAAGGGCACATGGAAAAGACAGTGCCCCTCACTCAGAAAGGTTGTCTGACTGTCCCCGCACCGTGAGGGGCTTGGCCAGCTACAGGCCCCGGGGACCCTAGAATTGCACCAGGAGAGTCCGGGAGGGGTGCCTGCCGCTCCCCACCCGACCATGAAGCGGGGCTGCTCCATGTTTGCCGGCAGCCACAGGCACCCGGGGCCCCTGCCCGTCCCGTGGGGCGACAGAGAGCTGGGCCTGCCTTCGCTTCCCAGGTCCCCCGCCCGCCCAGGACAGGATGGACAGGAGCTCTAGTGCCTGACACACACGCCCCCCCCCTGCGGCTATGGGGCCCCCGTGGGCCGGACATGCCTCTGGACTTCGGTTTGTTCCTCGGTGAGACGGAGGGGAGGGGAGCCCTGCTGTCTGGGAGCCGAGGGCTGTGCCCCGGCTGCACAGGGAGAGACAGCAGGGCTCCCAGCCGCCTGCCAGCCTGAGGCCCAGGGCCCTCCGCTGCGGAGAGGGCCCGTCCTGACACACGTCCCCGGCAGCCTCTGTACTTGGGACTCTGAAGCCCACCTGGACTCTGACCGACGCCCGGCCCAGGCCCCGGTCTGACACCGCCCATGGGCCCCAAGGGCCCACCTGAGCTCTGGCTGCCCCACGACAGGTGCCTGGTGCACATGTCAAATGCACGACAGAAAGGTGGCAAGCCCTGAGTTGAGAGAGGCCCAAGCCCTACGAGGCAGGGATCACAGAGGTGAGATCCAGGAAGGCTTCCTGTAAGAGGTGGCTCTGGTGCCAGCTGGCTTAGTAGAGTTCAGAGGCTTTCCTGGGGCAGAAAGCCGAGATGGAGGCTGACGAGGGGCACCTGAGGGCACGTGGGGTCAGGGAGGAGCAGCCGAGACAGGAGCAGACCTGCGGCCGGGCCTCAGGCGGCCTCGGGGCCGGCGGCGCTCACCTCTGACCACGGGCTGGTGTACCACTTAAAGCAGGGCCGTTCGAAGCAGGTGCTCTCCTCAGGGGGCTTCTTGGCCAGCCCGCACTCGGGGCCACTGCGCGTCTGCGGCTTCCCGTGGGCCAGCTCCATGCACAGGACCAGCCTCCTCTTTGTGCCTCGGCCGCAGGTGGTGTTGCACTGGGGTCAGGGGGCAGACGGGGTCAGAGGCCGGGCAGGGGCCAGGAGGGCCGCAGCATGGCCCCAGCGACCCCGGGGACCCCAGGGGCAACGGCTCTGCCAGTAGCCACGGGGTGGGACGCTGGGACGGACGGTGGATTTTGGCTGAGAGCTCTGGGCAATGAACGTTTGGTCCCAGACAGATTTGACCAAAAGCGACTTCGCAGAAAACCATCTGTCCTGAATCCAAATGGTTCAGGACGACTGGCCCAAGATGATCCAGCGAGGGGGGCTGGTGGCCCCAAAGGGCTGAGGGGAAGCAGTGGTGCTGGGAACAGCTCCCCGGGAAGCTGGCCACGCGGACAAGGACCTGGCCCCAAAGCAGGCACAGCCGGCCCCTGCGGCCTCCAAACACGGGCCACGTGGGGGGGCCGGCGGCCGGGACGACGGGGGACGGTGCTAAATCCGCAGCATCACTGAGGCCGAGCATTTGCCTACTTAGACTGGAAAGTTTGAAGGGGTTTCCGGCCTTCTGGGCTTCTCTTACTTCAGATTCGTTTTCAGTGCATGGTGCCGTCACCATTTACAGCCAGGCCCTCATTCTGACCCATCTGTCATCGGGCCGCTGGGCCGTCAGCCCAGAGTCCCCCGGGCAGGGGCACCACGCCGGCTCGGACCACTCACCCGCTCCCAGTCCTGGGCCAGCCAGTGGGCCGGGCAGTTCTTGTCCCCGCAGGGGTGGATGGCCAGGGGCTTGGTCTCCACGGGGCACTGAGACTCCGGCACCACCCGTCCGTCGCTGGTCTTGCAGTACACGTGTCTGATCATGCGGCCCTGGCCACAGCTGCCGCTGCACTGCAGGGGGACACGGGTTCGGGCCCAGCCGGCTCTCCATTCCCCTAATGAGGTTGCTCCCAAGAGAGAGGACCGCCCCCCACCCCCGCAGCCTGCGGGAGCCGCTGCCATGGTAACCACGTTGGAAATAGCACGTTCTGTTCTAATTACAGCGATACTGCTGCTTGGCGAAAAACACAGAGAGAGGAAAACACACCTAAAACCCCCACAAGGTCATCTGCGCCCCCAGCACCCGGAGGGCACCCTAGGGAGCTTCTGGGCTTCTTTCTTCCCCACCAGGGGACAGAGGCAGGCACCCAGGGGGACAGGCAGGGGGTCGTGAAGCGGGGTCGCTGTGCGGGACCCTGTTTCCGGGCAGACATCCTGATTCTGCATAATAACCAGGAGGACGGCCGGTCTTTCCCCGACGTCCTCGCTCCGGGAAAACGGGGAGGCCCTCTCACTGGCCTCACACCCCGGCCCCCTCTCGAAGCCCCCCTCCCTCCCCGGGGCCCCACCCTCACCGGCCCCCAGTCAGAGACGGTCCACTGGCGGTCACAGGGGGGCCCCGTGCATTCCTTCTCCCCCACGGGCCTGGTGTTGGGGTCGCAGAGCTTCTCGTCCTCCGAGCAGCGGATGTCCCTGGTCACCACGCTGCGCTCCCCGCACTTGGCCGTGCACTGTGAGGGACCGGGCGAGCGCGGGGTCAGGACATGTGAGTGTGCTCGCGCCCCCGCCGCCCCAGTGCCCCTCGCTGGCGGGGTGCGTGCTCACCTCGGACCACTCGGACATCTCCCACTGAGGCCCGCAGGCCGGGTTCCGGCACGTCTTGCGCTCCTCGGGCCGCACGGCGTCGGTGGCCTCGCACAGGTCGCTGTACACGGAGCTGTCGAAGCCGGGTGACAGCATCTTCCAGCAGCGCACGATGCGGAACTGGTAGCCCTCGCCGCAGGTGCGCGAGCACTCACTCCAGCTGCTGGTCTCCCACCTGTCCCGGGAGGGGCGGCCTTCAGTGACCCCCGCTTCCTGCCGGTGCGACGCTGTATCCCGGGGACAGTGCGTCCCCCTCCTCCCTCCCCGTACGGTCCAAAGTCACAAGGGCCGAGACACACAGGACGCTGGTGAGGCTACACCATGGCGGCTGCCGCCCTGGGCCCCCAAGCTTTTCAGGGAACCCCTCGGTGGGGCCTGGGTGGGCGCCTGGAGTGGCCGGCAGCTGGAGGCGCCTCCACCTGCTCTCACCCATGCCCTGGCCTTCCAGAGCCTGTGGGGAACCCGGTCCTGGCCCTGTTCCTTCGCTCAGGCTGGGGTCACACCCCAGAGTTGCAGAGCCCCAAACCCCGCCGTGGGGGCTCCGATGGGCTGGCAGGACCCAGAGCCGCACACTCAGCTCCTAAGAAAGGAGCCAAAGGCCAGGCAGCAGAGACCCCGGGCGGGGGGCGGGGGGCAAGACAGGTTTGCTGCCCTGACGACAGGCTGGGGCCCCACAGCCGCCCCCACTGTGCCTGGGGGGAGGGCACGGTCAGGGCTTCACCTCCGCCCACTCATGAGGCAGAACAGGCGGAAGACGGGGCCTCCCTCCGTGACGGGGACAGCCTGGAGTTTGGGGTACAAGCCCTCGGGGCACGTACAGATCCTGGCTGCCTCGAGGGGGCCTGGGGCAAAGGTGCCACCCCAGCAGAGAGCAGCCCGCAGCGGACGGCGCCGAGGGAGTGCCCACTGCGGCCAGGCTCGGCCGCGGACAACGTGCTCAGCGAGGGAGGACCGGCGGACTCCACGGGCAGGCCAGTGTGCGCCCCAACCCCCGGCCCAGCCCCGCCCGCGCAGCCCCTGGAAGGAGCAGGAGGACCCCCTGCTCCTCTGGACGGAGCAGAGCCGGCTCCCCGCCCCTGTCCCCACACGCGACCCTGTGGGGCCTGGGGGCCGCACCTGGGCTGGCACTCCCTCCCCGCGCAGAGGTCCTGGACCGGCTCTGGGCGCGTCAGGGCGTCGCAGTAGCTGTCGTCCACCTCAATGCCATCGTAGCGGACACACGTGGCGTAGGTCGACATGACCCCTGAGTTCAGGACAAGACAAAGGCCTGTGAGCCACACACGAGCGCCCAGGAGACAGGTATGTGACCGTGGGTGCCTCTCGGGCTTGCTCAGAGCCCAGCTTTCCTGCTTGAATCAGGGACAATGGCCTTAACCAGCTCACAGAACTGTGATGGGGGCTTCGGCTGGTGTGGCTCAGTGGACTGAGTGCCGGTCATGAACCAAAGGGTCACCGGTTCAATTCCCAGGCAGGGCACATGCCTGGGTTGTGGCCCAGGTTCCCAGTAGGGGGCGCACAGGAGGCAACCACACACTGATGTTTCTCTCCCTGTCTTTGTCCCTACCTTTGCCTCTCTCCAGAAATAAATGAAATTTTTAAAAAAGAAGAGCTGTGACAGGAGAACTCAGAGTCTGACCTCTTCCCTTTCCTGCCCCGACCCCCCCAGCTGCTGTGAAGAACTCACCTTGGCCCCTAGGGAGGCGTGTGCTGCCCAATCGCCAGTGATGGGTGAGGACAGTGAATGGCCGGGTGGCCAGATGGTGGGTGGGTGGGTGGAGGATGGACAGATAATTAGGTTGATGGACAGGCGGGTGGATGGTGGATACAGGTGGTCAATCTAGCACCCCGGCCCTTGCCAGCCCCCCAAACAGTGTTACAGCCCCTCCCACCGCCCTCCGTGGTGAACCCCAATTTTTTCAACCCCCCATCCCCAATCTTCTTTAGCTAAATGACCAGCCTCCAGCTCTGTGTCCCTGTCCCCTCCCCCAGCAGCCCCACGCTGGCACCCAGGTGGCCACACTCTCCAAGCGGTGGCGGGTCCTGCCCTTGGGGACGCGGGGGACGATTCTGGGAGGGGGCAGCGGTGTTATCGTTGTTCTCATCGTTAGTGTGTGTGTGTGTGTGTGTGTGTGTGTGTGTGTGTGTGTGTGACAGAGAGAGAGAGAGAGAGGTCGCCGCCCTCCTGGATGACAGGGAAATGGAACCCTCCCTCCCCGCTGGTGGCCAGCCCCTCAGGGCAAATCAATGTCCCGTGAGTGCGAGCCCCGCCCCTCACTCTGCCTTCCCAGCAGCCACAGCCGAGTCCCCCGCCAGTGGCACCGGCCCCTCCAAGCCCCAGCCCTGGATGGACGATCAGCCTGGGGAGCAGCCCACCCGGGACTGTCCTTCCTCCGAGAAGGACCAGCCGCAGTCACCTGCCCCTCTCTGTCGACGCTGGGCCGAGGGGTCTACAGCCCCTTGCGGGTGAGGCCGGGACTTCCAGGGAGGTTCCCGGCCTCAGATGCCAGCTCTGGGGCCCCGGGGTGGGTGCTGGGGCCGGGGACCCACAGAGCCTCGCCAGGTGCCCGACTCCTCATCCACTCACGGAGCGGGGACCCCGGAGGCCCTCCCCAAGAGGGGCTGCAATTCAGGTCCCAGCCCATTCTGTCCTGGTAGGGTGACGAGGACTTCGTCACACTTCCCAGGCCTCAGCTTACCTGCCCCCAGATGGGAACTCCCCAAGACACTGAGAGAGTTAGAGCCCCATGTTCCTAGACACCCTTGTCATGACCTCAGCCCTGAACACAGTGCTTCTCAAACCCCCTCACACAGGGAGCCCTTCCGTTCGGTGAGTGACCAGGGAACAGAGGGGAGAGGCTCAGGGTTCCCGGCCCCACCCCCCCACTCCAGTGTCCCGGGGCAGCTGAGGGACGGTGGGGGCACTGTTGAGACTCGGCCTAAGAGCGCCCACCGGTTCGCCTGCGGCTCTGCCACCTCAGGGCGCCTCTAGGGGGAGTGAGGAGGCCGCCATGTCCTGGCTGAGCTTGGGGACGGGAGAGCTGCGTCCTGGACGGAAAAGCCCTCCGTGTGCCCCTTGGCAAGGCCCAGGGCAGCGAGGGGTGCCGCTGCCTCGGCAACACGGCTGGACGCTCACAGACACCGCACGCCAGCGGCCCGGCAGCCCCCCGGAGCTATGGGCAGCCGGGCTACGTGCCCACCCAACCGCGCGCCCCAGGCAGGGAAGGGGTGGTGCTCAGGCCTCCCTCTTGCGCCTGATGGTGTCCCCCTGCTGGCTCGCACCCCCTGGCAGCCCCAGGGGGCAGCCGCTGAAGCCCAGTCCCTGGTGGCCACGGCCAGGGACTCAGGGTGGCGGTGGCCAGCCACGTGAGCAGAGACGTGCCACAAGTCCCAGTTCAGTACTAAGCACGTGTGCCTGCCTGTCAGGTGTCACCAAGGGGTCTCCGTGTCCCGCCCGGCCGCCTCCCCTGCGGAGGTCAGAGAACCTGACCCTGCCCCGACCGGGGGTGGGGGGCCCCCTCCTGTGTCTGCTGTCAGCAACCGCGGACTCCTCACCCCCAGGATCCCTTCCTTTCCACCAAGAGGACATCCACTCCGACGGGACGGGGCGTGAATGACGGTGGGCGAAGAGCATTGTGGGGGCCGTGCAACGCCCAGGAGGCCAGCCTCGCCGTGGTTCCCCGCTGGCAGGGCACCCCAACCCAGGTCGCGTCCCGCCCCCTCCCAGGGCTGCCGAGGGCAGACCGGCGTCCCTCGAGCCGCGGGCGGGGTGGTGGCGGGCGCTACCTGTGGTGCAGGTGGCACTGCAGGGCTCGTGCGAGGACAGCTTCCACCGGTACATGTCCGCCGCGCTCACGCCTTGCTTGCGCGCCTTGGGCCTGGTCCTGAAAGGAGGTCAAGCAGAGAAGGGGGTGAGAGGCCACGGCGGCGCCGTGATGGGATGGCACCCTGTCCTAGTCCCCGGTAGCCCGCCCATTAGGGTGAGAGGACCACTGTCAAGCACGGGGTGGGGTGGATTAGGACACGGGGGGCCTGGCGCGTCTCCGTGACTGACGGTCCAAGGGTCCTGCACCGCGGCTTGTCACAGCTCCTTCAGGAGTCGGGGGACAAGGCAGCATACAGCTGTCCCTCCACACACACATGCCAGCTTCTCCCTGTCACCTTCTAGCATCCAAAATGGGTCCTCTTCCCTGCGCCCTCCCTGGGGAGGGACATCGGAAGGCACTTTATGCTGAGAAGGTGCCAGAATTCTCCTCTGCGGCCTCCCCGCCAGGGTCCTGACTGAACGGGACACTAGCCGCTCGGCTCCGGTGACTGACACAGAAAAGCTTAGACGGGGATGGGGCCACACCGCCTCCAGGTGACCCGCCCAGGCCAACTGTTGTTAGGGCTGTTTGCTTCTCTGAGCGGTGGGTGAGCTAGGCCTGACCTCTGACCTCTGACCTCCGTATCTGCTGGGCAGGCTCCGGGGGGGCTCAGCAAGGGGGAGGGAAGGAGCAGCAGCTCCCAGAGCATCAGGCCTAAGATGACAGGGCCTCCCCATCGTCACAGACCCATGGGACCCGCCAACCGGGGAGCCCGGGGAGAGGCCGGGTGCGAAGGCCTGGCTGCCCCACGGGGTCCAGGCCTCGATCCCCCCAGCCCCTCCCCTGGGCCCAGAGGCTGGCAGGAGAGGAGAGGAGCTAAGTGTCCCAGGGTGTGAGCATGGGCAGAGCTACAGGCCCTTTCCTGGGAACCCACGGTCAGCTCTGGGGACGGTTGCAAGACAGGCCTCCTGGTCGGTCTGCGGTCAAGGCCTCGGCTGGGATTCCAGCTTTTGGAATTTCCCAGGTGGGGTGGCTGAGGATGGGGGAGCCAGGAGCACTAAGGGGGTGGGGACGGGCACGAGGGCCAGCACACCGGGCGGTGGCCCTGCCCTCTCCCACATCCCCCAGGGGAAGGAGGCCCGCACTGTCCTCCTCAAAAATGAGAGGAATCTCAGGGCTGTGACGTCCAGCATAGGACATGCAGCTGGCCGTGCTGGGTCCACTCTGCGTGGGGCCAGGTGGGGACTGGACTCGGGGGTCACTTTGTAAAGCACATGCTGTCTAACCACCGTGTGCACCCCGAAACCAATACAAAGTCAACAGAACGCCAACTGCATTTGAAAAATAGGAGAAAAATACAAGAGAAAACTTTTGTCCCCCCCACCAGACCCTGTTCCCTGAGAACAAAGGACCTGGGGAACCCTGGGTGACCACCCAGTTCCTGGGAACCAGGCCCCTGGGCCCAGAAGGCCCCGGAAGATCGCTCCCCACCCTGGGCTCCCCCAGCTGCCTCTTGGCAGCTTTAAATCCTCCCCCAGAAGGAGAGAGGAGGCCGAGCCCCCCGCCCCCGGGGAGCGGTGGGCCAGCGCTTCCAATGACACAGCGCAGCCAGCAGCCGAGTGACTCACCCCGACCCCCTCGTCCCTGACTCCCGGGAGTGTGACAGGTTTAAAATAACTCTCCGGGGTTTTAAGCACAAAAGGTGCTTCTGGAGGGACAGCTTGGCGTCACTCTGAGTTCCAGTGCGTCACTCTCGGGTTGCGCAGCTCTGGACGATCCCTGCTCACGTCTGTACAGCGAGGCAGGGCCAGTTCCTGGAAGTGGCCCCGGGAGAAAAACACCCCGGAAGCGGCTGAACCCCCAGCCCTTCACCGTCTGGAAGGGAGAGGGGGCCCGGCAGCCGTGGGGGTCCCCACGGTCCGGCGGGGGGGTTGGCGGGACGCACTGGCCGCTGCTCTGCCCCCCGCCGGGTCTCGGACGCTTGCCCCTTGTCGGAGGCTGTCCCGAGAAAATGGAAATAGCCTTTCCTCCAATTCCACCCTGGGCAGATGCGGCTTCCCGTGTTTGGACAGCCCGCCCAAACGGGCTATTTCAGCCGGGGGCTCCCTGCCCGTCCCTGCCCTCGGCCCTTTGTGTTAAAAGGCCACCTGCGGTCTCAGCGCCCTCTGATGGTGGCCGGTGGGGAGCTGCCCCATCTCCCCACGTCTGGGCCCCGCTGGAAGTTGGCGATAGATTGTATCGATTCCTGTGACGCCCCCCCACGTAGGCACTGGCAACCCCAAATGCCCCCGTGGGGCTGAGGGGGTGGGTAAGGTTCAGCTGGGGCAGGACAGACTCTGCAGTGTGGCTGAAGGACCCACAGGCTCGGGCTAACCTGAATGGGCTTCCTGGACAGCAGCGCTGGCCAGCCCCGGGCCCTCTTCTGGCAAGTCCCTCACTTCAGGAGGGGAAACTGAGGCCCAGAGAGGGTCTGAGCCGTGTTTGTTGTTTAAGGCAAGGGGTTTGGGTGGCCCTCAGGCAGCCAGGCAGCCCAGCCTGAGCCCACTCCTGCGTCCCCCACCCCTGCCTGTGCAGGTGAGCATCGGCCCCTCAGGGTGGCCCTCAGCTCAGGGGGCTTGTCTCTGGGGACTGTCCTCCAGTGGGGTTGGTGGCGGGCCCAGGGGCACCCTGCTCTCATCTGCCCCCCACCCAGGGAGGCTTCTGGCCTCAGGCCCCCCCAAGACCAGTCCTGACTGCCCAGATCTCCCCAGCTGAGACTGCCTAGGTGTCCCCAGGGGTGACTCTGCAGCTGTGACTGTAGTGTCCCCAGCCATAGCCTTGCCTCTGGGGGCCTGACCCCAAGTGGGCTCCCATGGCCCCCCAGAGGCGACTCCAGCTCTCCCCACCACCCCTCAGCAGAAGGCCTTGTCCTGATGCCCGACTCTGGGCCCTTGGCCCCTACTGAGGGACCCACTGGACCCTCCGGGATCCCCTCTCTGGCGCAGCAAAGGTTGGTGCCGATTCACCTGCACCTGAGGAGTGGCCTGGGGTGCCCAGCTCCCACCCAGCAGCTGTGCGCACAAGGACGGTCTGGACAGAGAACCCAGGGACCCGAACGCTCTGGCACGGTGGCCCCGCCCACGTCGCTCATCTTCTCTGAGCCCCGGTAACTGTCTAAGTCTCGGTGCAGTGGCAAACTCAGCCCCAAGCCTGGCTCGAGAGGAGCACCCTGGACAGTGGCCCCCTCCCCGCCCTCCTGTCCCAGCGTCCAGCGGCATCAGCTCCGCACACGGGTGCACGGCTCAGGGCTTTAACTTGCTCAGGCCTGAGGGGCAGGGGGGTGTGGGAGCGGGGGCGGCCAGACCCCCTCTCCCCGCAGTGAGGCCTCGCTTACAGGGCCCCGCCCCAGGGGCCCCTGGACAGGGCAGGGGCCCAGCGCCTACCTGGCCTTGTGCGTCCTGTTTCCGGCCCCGGCAGGCAGGCTGGCGTTGGGGAACGGGGCCTCTGAGGAGGCGTTGGCCACCCTGTCGCTGCTCAGCGCCAGGTAGGACCCGTTGAGCAGGTAGGCGCCGGCGCCCTCGCTCTCCTCAGAGTCCGCGTAGAGTCCCTCGGCGGGGGAGCCCCGCGGGGCGCCCTGCAGGAAGATGCTGCTGCCCGTCGTCCCGTTGAGCGTGAGCTCCTGGGAGTCAGGGCCTGCGCCCAGGTGCTGGCCGGGGAGGACGCTGGCCAAGAGGAGCCCCTGGGAGGGTAGGCGGGAGGCGGCCTCTTGGTCCTCCGTGTCCCCTGAGAGAGCTGTCCCTGTGGCATTGCCATCTACAAAGGAGACGAGTGGCTCAGCTTCCAGCGGTCCCACACATGGGGGCGGGGGGCCCAGAGCCAAGCCCGGGAGCCCCCAGAGGCGGGTCCCGCCCTTGAGTGGACGCAGGGCACCGAGAGGAGGCCCACCGGCCTGGACAGGCTCTTGTGGGGGGTTGGCTCCACTTCCGCAGTGGGTCGAAGGGGTCCCCCAGAACTCGTGTCCACCCAGAACTGTGGAATGCAAGCTTGTTTAGAAACAGACTCTTTGTCGACGTGGTGAGGGACCTCGGGGTGAGGCTGCCCCGGGTTTGGAGCGGCCCCCCGCCCACGCCCGCTGTCCTCGGGAGAAGGGGAGCAGACACAGGGAGTCACAGAGGAGCAGGTGTGTGGGGACCCAGGCAGAGATGGCAGTGGCCTGGCCAAAAGCCAAGGACACTGGGGGCCCCTCAAAGCTGGGAGAGGTGGGAAGGACCCCCCAGAGCCTCCAGGACCGGGGAGGGTGCACCCCTGGTATCCGGGGCCAGCGGTGATCATTTATCCCCGCAGCCCCAGGGCACCAACACGGCCGCTCGGGTGTCTTCTACCTAAAGACACTGAGGGTCTTGCAGACCCACCCCCCCAAGTCCGTGAGGGGCCCTTCCTGAGTCTGGTCGACCCTCTGCCCTCGGAGCAACGCCGCTGTGGCCCCCGGAGCCGTCACCGCCCCTCAAATGCTGCCTGCCTCTACTGAGTGACCGAGGGCAGCGCCAATGAGGTCAGAGCAGCCTGGGTCTGACTCCCAGCACCCACAGTGGGCTGTGCGGCGTGGGCAGGTCCTCCCCTCTGAGCCCCCATGTCCCCATGTGTCACAGGGGACAGCCCCCTCCACCCCCAAGAACGCATCACAGGCGCAGGCAGAGGCCTGGCACTGCGCCCACCCCGGACGCCTGCAAGGAGCCAGCACCTTTGTCTGGCCCTTCTGCCGCCTGCAGGGGACCACAGGCCCCTCCCCGAGGCCCCTCTCCCCGGGAAGCACCCCCTCCAATTACCTCGGAAGCCCTTGCCCCCAGGAGTGCCGCCAGCCTGCTTGCAGACCTCATTATGCTCCTTGCTCAGACCCAGCTCCGTCCCGGGGCCCGGGGCTCCAAACAGCCGCTCGGGGGAGGCCTGGCCGAAGAGCGAGCCGTTGTGTGGGAGGAAGCCCAGCAGCGCCGGCCCGTCCAGCTCTGGGTCCTCCGCGCTCTCGGAGGGGGGCTCGGAGAAGTGCAAGTAGAAGGGCTGCCCGTGGTGGGCAGCGGACGGCTGCCGCAGAGTGTACTCAAAGGTGATGGAGGGGCTCTTGCCGTTCTGGTTCCACACCTGCGGGAGCGGGGAGACCGGAGCCAGTGGCAGAGTCCAGGGCAGGCCAGTGGCCACCAGCCCGCGAGGTCCCCTAGCATTAAGGACCCGGCAGAAATGCCAGTGTCCGTGGAACTGGGGGAGGACCCTGCATGGAGGGCGCAGCCCCCCGAGCGTGAAGTGGGCCCTGCACCCCTGCATCCCTGTGTAGCCTTCCATCCTCGTGTCCCACATTGTCCCCAGTGACCTGGGCAGGACCTCCAGCTATGCCCATTGGCCGGGAGGCTGACAGCACGGATGAATGAGTGAGTGAATGAATGAATGAAAAGGCAAGTCAGAAGGTGAGAGACTGGGAGGTGGGGGAGCGAGAGCAGGGAAACGCACTGGTGAGGAGCAAATACAGGCAGGCAAAGAGGAGGCACTAAAACCTGGGGCAGTGAAGGAACGAAGGAAGGGGCAAGTCAGTGGACAGGTGGCAGGGTGGGCGAGAGGGGCCCAGCCCAGCCTGGGTGGGGGTGCTGTCTCGGGCACACACTCTGCCGGCCACTGTGCAGCCTGCCGGCCCGGAGCCGCCTCCCACCGCCGCCGCCACCGCCGCCCGGCCCCCGCACACACACCATGACGTTCAGGCCCTGGTTGGTGGGCCCCGGGGCCACGATGTACTCAATGCCAGTGTCGAAGACGTCCGTGGGCCTCCGGTACTTGACCACGGTGCCGGCGATGTTGAAGTTCTTGGGGCTGTCCACCTTGAAGTTGCCGTTGAAGAAGAAGGCGCCAGCTTCATCTGCAAGGGCTGGCAGGTCGAGGCCACCGGTCACCGGGGTCGATCAGCTGGAGCGGGGGCGATAGCCACCCGCCTGGGATACTCCCTGAACGCCCTGAAGGCAGGAGACCCCACACCAAGTGGAGGGGGTGCTGTGTGCGCAGCGGCCGGCAGCCCCGGCCTCTGAGTGCCGAGGACACAGAAGCGCTTCCCCAGCAGCCTGAACTAGACAAGGCGTGTCTAGGTGACCGGAGGTGGCCGGCCGCGGGCCCGTTGGGTCCTATCGTCTTGGTCGCCTGTGAAAGGCTGGGCTGCGAGGGGGCCGGTGGCATCAGGACTGGCCTCCCAGTCTGGAGCAGCAGGGCCAGCATCTGGGGAGGCAGCCGCCTGGCCACTGGGCAGCGGGTATCGACCAGGAGAGCGGGGCCGGACATCCAGCCAGGCTCTGCTGTAGACTCACTGGGCCAGTCACTGCCCCAGCGTCCCACCAGGACATGGGGACACAACCTCGAGGCGCCTCTGGGGTCCGCACAGAGGGACGCTGACCTGGCTGGCCCAGAGCCCTGCCCCAGCGGTCCAGCAGGCCCTCCCTGGCCACCCCAGCCGACCAGCTCTGTGCTCTCACTATGAGCTGTGACGTCATGCCTCGCATGCACACACAACCAGGCCGACCGTTTGCCCGGGTCCCCCAGGCTGCCGGACGTGATGAGGGAGGCCCGGGCACTTTCTCGGTGACCCTTCTGTGAGGCAGGGGCAGGTGGATGGACATGTGGAAGGGGGACATCAGTAGGATGGCCCTGCCCAGGGCCAGCCTGGCCTAGCGACGCCCAGACGACAAGAGGGCACACACAGCCTTGTGTCCCGCGGCCTGGCGGGGCAGGGACTGCCCAGAGCCGGGGCAGTGGTCTGGGGCAGCCGGCCGTCCCTGGGGCTGTGGAAGTGACCGCAGGCACGGCCGGGAGCGCGGGCAGTGAGGAGGCAGGCTCCCCACTCGGGGACAGTGCGTCTTCCAGGAACCAGCCCGAGAAGGGAAGAGCTCAGCTTCTGAAGCCCCTGATGCCGAGGGGCAGCTGGGCAGTAAACCGCCGACCAGGCCGACACAGCAGCAGGACGCATCTGCTGGACAAACACCCGCACACACCATGACCGAGGCCAAGCCGTGCCTGGAGGGGCAAGGTGGGGGCCGGTTGCCCGGCCCAGCTTGCAGGTGTGGGCAGGGGGTTCAATCCCTGGCCCTCGTCCAAACCCTGTCTCCTGACAGGGACGACATTCCTCCCTGCGGGTTTCCCAGGGCTCTGACGGAGGCTGCCCTTGACATTTCCACGCGTCTCTCCAGAGCGGTCTCTTGGCGGCCAGCTCCAGGAACGCGGCGTTTCCCGGCCTCACTGCGGGCACCGGAGTGGCTGCCTGGCAGAGGCCCGCCCCCCACAAGCAGATGCTGGGGCTTGGGGTGCACAGCCCTGCCGAGGTGCCAGGCTGGAGCCTGCAGCCCAGAGGGTGGCACCCGGCCGGCTTCTCCCTCAACAGCCCTGAGCAGACCCCAGCCACCACGTCCCCTGAGCAGGGTGGGTGTCACGCCACCAGTGCTGGCTCTCACGGGGCCACCCTAAGAGGCAGGGAGGTGCGCCAGGCATCGGGAACAGCCTCTCGCCTGGGTCCCCAGCCCGTCTCTCCCAGGGCAGGGCCGAATACGGTGCCACTCACAGGGGTCAGCACCCGCCCGCAGTGGCCACCAGGGCCACAGGGGGTCTCCTGGGGTGCACACCAGGCACACCTTTCTAGGACCGTCACCAGCACGGGGCCTCACTGCCCTGGCCGCCATACTGATAACTCCAGAACCCTCAGGTTGTAGGATGTCCCCCCGCCCCCGTCCAGCACCCACTGGGGGGCCATCTGGGGGCACGAACATTCACTTGAGAGCCCCTGAGTCTACACCCTTCCTCTGCCTCAGCCGCGCATGGCCTCGGGCTGGCCACCTACTGCCCCTCTGTGCCTCAACCGTCACCCCTCCTGGGTCCCACTCCCATACCCTGGAGGCAGGCACCCACTTCCGGCTTTTGCCAGGCTCTCCAGGGACGGGCAGCTCACTACCTGATGTCACGCCTCCCTCCGCAGTCAAGCAGCTCAGAGTACAGCAAGGCCCTTCCACACTCGGGGGAGTCAGCTTCCCCAAGACCCCCGCCAACCGCCAGGCCGGGTTGGGATCTGGCTTCAGCAGTGCGCCCCTCCCTGCAGCAAAGGACCCTCGTCTGCCCCCATGTGGGGCCCGTGCTCAACCGCAAGCCCGAGCGCGGCACGTACCCAGGACGTCGGCGGACTTCTTCCGCTCCACGATCTGGATGTCTCGGGCACCAGCCGGGATGTGGGTCACCAGAAAGTAACCTGGGGTGGTGGGCGATGGTGAGCAGCGGGTCCGGCTGTGGCCACTGCCCCTCAGTCAGAAAGGCAACAGCTGGCGGCCCCTCCTCCTGGGCTCCTGGTCAGGGGCTGCCTGGATGCACAGGGGCAGGTCCAGGGTCCCACTGAAGTCCCTGGTGCCACCTAAGGGCTAACCCCTGCCCGGGCTGGAGACCAGGCCCCCTGCCCCTCCCCCACCAAGGCCACTGAGGGAGGTCTGCTGGAGTGGAACAGACCTGAGTCCTGCTCTACCGGACACCCCCAAGGTGGCCCTGAGCAAGTTGCTGGAGGCCTCGGGCCTCAGTTTCCTCATCTGCACCAGATGTGGATAAGAAAGGACGAGGCTCCTGGCTGAAGTCTGCTCAGGGCCTGGGGTCGAGGCCCCCCCTGTGGTGGGGACGGAGTGGGGAGACCTTCACAGAGACCCTCCGGCCCCTTGGCTGGAGGACGGGAGTGCTGTCGGTGAGCTCTGGGGAGGGCGGGTCTGAGGGGAGGAGGAGAGAGATGGTTCGAGCCCCTGGGCAGAAAAGCCTTTGGGCCTCAGGTCTCAGAAATCAGGATTATCGGGCTTGATGTGGACACGGCAGGTTCCTGCCTCAGAGGTGGTTGAGCCCGTGGGCACCTGCCTGCCCAGGTGGCACCTGCCTGCCACAGGCCAGCACTGGGTGCCCTTGCTCCCCCGTCCAGCCCCAGCCTGGGCCCCTGAGCTCGTCCCTCCTGGCCCTCAGTGGGCATCTCAGTGGGTGGCACCTGGCTCTTAGGGCGGGGGGGGGCTCTCCCCTGGGGTGTGGCCAGTTTCCACGGTGGGAGCCCTCCCACCAGGGCCACTCGAGCCCCCAGCGGGAGCCACACCGGGGATGGAGGGGGAGGGGGCCAGCAGCTCACCTGCCTCGGTGGCACTTTCATTGTGCCAGTGTCCTGGTGACACGGGTGTGACTAGGATGTGATGACTCTAAGTGTCACTTATGCAAAGGTAGGTTTATACACGTTCATTTTTAAATTAGCAGCCAGCTCACGAGATTCCTGCCTGAGCACCCTACGCTCTCACACCGCCCAGCCCGCACGCACGCGCGGGTGTCCTCAGCTCCCCGCACTGCTGCAAGGCCTGACCCAAACCCGCTGTCCGGAAGATGCCGGACAAAGAGCCGCTGGTCACTCCCAGCCCAGGGAGTTCACCGAGCACCTGGCCAGCCCCCAGGCCTGGGTGGAGGAGCAGGTGGTCCACGGAGGGGGCGGCGGCGTCTTACCGAGCTGGGCGTTCCCCTTGCGGTAGGTGCCCGACACACGGGTGCAGCTGCTCCCGTCCCCCTGGCAGACGCCGCACCTGTCCGGCATGTGGGTGGAGAAGAGCACCCCGTCACAGCCGATGGGCTGCAAGGAGGGAGGCAGAGAGGGCTGCTGGGACCCCGCGGAGGCCGGGCCGCCGGGCGGCCGGCGAGGTGAGCCCCGCGGTACCCCTGCTACAATGTTTAACAACCTCACATTTTCCAGACACGCAGACCCCCCGCACGTCGGTGAGCTTGCAGGACGTGCCGTCCCGGGCGGGGACCGTGAGCTGCCGCTGGCCGTCCGCGGTGGTGCAGTGCAGGTCGCAGGGCTTGCTGGAGATGTGGACGTAGTCGTCTGCGGGGACGCAGGGCCTCAGGGGACACGCTCCGGGCCTTCCCTCTCCCTCCCGCGGGGACTGCACGCACCCCGGCATGGACGGGGAAGTGGAGGCCTAGAGGGGCGAAGGGGCTGCCTGGGGTCCCGGGGGCTGGCGTGAACCGAGGGGCCGGTGGTCTGGCCCAGCCCCTGCTCTGTGAGTTCTGGCCTCTGCCTCCCTGTGGGTGGGGACAGTCCCCCTCGCAGGAGGTCAGAGCCGGTGGATGGCCCTGCGTGGCTGGGCCTGGTCGCCCTCCACTTACCCCCCACATGCAGGAGAGGCCAGACGCCGGAACAACTCACAACCTTCCACAGGGCCCCTCTGTCCAGCCCACCTGCCCGCCCACCGGACGAGTGTGCCCCCCGCCCAGACCCCAGGAGCAGACCCCTCGGGTCGGGGAGGGCACCCGCCCGAGCAGTGGCCGGGGTGAGGTACCGGGGTACAGGGGTTTCCACTGGTGCCGCTGCCCGTCGTACATCTGGGCGTTGAAGGAGGTGCACTGTTCCTCCCGGAAGCTCCTTGCGTCCGGCGGGCACTCCTGGGGACCGAGCACATGGAGTGGGGGCGGCTGCAGGGGCTCCTGTGCCCCCCGGGCAGGAGGCAGCCACCGCCCGGGGCGGCCCCTCCCACCCCGCCCACCCCGAAGGCTCCGGATGCAGGAAAATGAACAGGGGCAGCTGGGACCCCACGGTGCCCTCGTGTGCTGGCCCGGCCCGTGCTCTGGGTGGGATCCTGTCAGCCCCCTGCCGCCCCAGCTCCACCCAGGGCCTCCGGGTGGGGCAGGAGGTGGGGACCAGACACCCAGTGACTGTCAGCCCCCCAGGAGCTCCTGGTTCGGGACCTGTGGGGGCCAGAGACCCCAACCCTGGAGCTCCCCGCACCTGCAGCGGGCACAGCAGGCGGCCCCGTCTGACTGGGTGTGGGGAGGGCCCCCCTCACAGGATGCGGGGCTGGCCTGAGGCCGAGTGTCCGAGGGGACAGCCGGCCCCTGCAGAGGTGGGGGCAGACGGCGGGGCCTCACCTGCGCCTGGCACAGCTGGTACTGCTTGGACGTGCCCGTGCAGGTCCTGTTCCCAGCGCCCGTGACCGACGTCCTCCTGTTGGGGAGACGCCGTTGCTGAGCTGGTCCAGGAAACAGCCAGCTGCCGGCCCCGACGCTGCTCCTGCCCCCGGACCGGCCTCCAGCCCCGCCCCCCAGGCCTCCCCCGGCCGCTCCTCGGGAGGAGCCCTGCTCAGCGGGTCTCCCAGCCCCTTCCCGGGGGGCACACTACGGGGTCACCTCTACGTCCCTGTCCCCCTGCCCAGGGTCCCCGCACCCAGAATTCGTGATGCTGCCTGTGTGCTGGCCCAGCACCGAAGCTCACGCACACGTGTGACCTCGGAGATGTCAGCTGGTGCGGGGGGGCGGTGTGGGGGGGCTGGTGCTCAGAGAGGGTGTGGGACTTGCCCACGGCCACCCCACTGGGAAGTGTCAGAGGCCAGACTTGAACCCAGGTCTGTCCGGCCGCAGCTGTGGCGCCACACGCTTGTTCCATGTGGACTCAGCTCCGGCCGTCTGAAGAGAAGGCCGGGGGCTCACCCCACCCCCGCAGAGCCTAAGAGAGGGACCCTGTTTCCTCGTGAAGGCCGGTGCCCCGTGCCCCGGAGCAGGGCGCACCCACCCCGCCGCTGAGGGCCGGCCCCCCCTGGGAGCCGTGTCCCCGACAGGGCCGGTCCGGTGCCGCCCCAAACCAAGCTCCGCCCGCCCCGCCGAGCCCCGCACCTCTGCTGCAGACAGTGCCGCTCCTGGGACATCACGCCTGGGCCACAGCTGCGGGAGCACGCCGTCCACTTGGTCCACTCCCCCCACCAGTAGGCCGTGGCGTCCGGGCCCCTCTCCAGGCTGTTGGCCGTTGGGTTGCTGCCCTGGGTGAGAGAGGCCCCGCGGGGGCTGGACGGCAGAGCCGAGGGATGGGCCGGCCCCCCGGGTGGTCTCAGAGGGGTGCTGTGGGCCCCGGTCCCTCCCATCGTGAGATCCGGACCGCCCCAGGTGCTCCTCCGGGTCCTGAGGACACGCCTAACTCGCCGGCAGCCCAGGGCCCCCCGTGGGTTCTGGGGGACATGGCCCTGCCCACGTGCATGCCCCACTCCCCAACTTAGCTCTGAGGGGTGGCGCTCGGCCTCAGCCCTGTCCCGCCAGAGGGCAAGGGCTCCAGAGCAGCCGGAGGCCCGCTCAGGCGTGGCCCCACCACACGTGTTCCGGGCAGCAGAGGGCACTCGGGGAAGGTGCCGCGGGCGGGACCCCTGGACACGGGCCCCCGACCCCTCCGACACCAGGCCCTCTGGGCCAGGGACCACGCTCCCCACTCACCATGGCCCTGCTGGATGCCACAGTCCCGGCCACGAGGGCCACAGTCAGCAGGGACCAGGCTCGGCGAGGAGGCCGCAGTCTGCTGTCCATCCTGGGGAGCAAGGCCACTGTCACCGCCAGGCCAGACGCACTTCCTCTGTCAGTCGAGCAGGGTCCACCCTGGGGAAGAGCCCTCAGGGCCCGCCCCCTGCCAGGGCCGCGGGGCCGCCGGGGGTTGGACGGCAGTGGCTGCTGGCAGCCCGGGTGGGAGGGCCCAGGAGGTGACTGGAGGTGCCTGCCACGGGCTGGAGACACAGGACAGCGGGGCCGTGCCAGGCCTGCCCCGCCCTCCCCGCACCCACCCCTGTGTCTGAGGGCACTTGGGGTCACGTGCCCTGCTCTGCTGCTGGACACCTGAGCTCGTGGAGGACACCTGTGGGCCGAGGCTGTGTCCTCAGTGACGGAGTGAGGCCCCGCCGGACTCGGTCTCCCACCGCGGCCCGTGGACTCAGCCCAGCTGGAGCCCTCAGGGTTTTCACCGGCTCTGTGCCTGCCGGCCACAGGGGAAGAGGCAGAAGGACCGTCTGAGGGGTGGGTTTGTGGACGCCTCAGGTGCCACCAGGCTCTTCCCTGACCTGGCCACAGCGCCCCTGACCCCAACCCCTCAGGGACCTCAGGCTGGCAGAGCCCGGCACCCGTGCCCCTGCGGGCCAGAGCGTGAAGGGCCCAGGGCCACAGGACGGTCTCCTCGGGAAGCCAGTGCCCCCGCCCCAAATGCCACTTGAACTCCCCACTTTGGGAGCCTCCCACCTGCAGGGCCCTCTGCCCCCCAAAAGGAGGGACAGTGGCTGTGGGGGGGCTGGGGGGCTTTAGCGGCCTCTGTCTAGAGTCTGTCTTCCGCCCTGAGTGTCACTTGCCAGCACGTTGGACAAGGGCTTCCAGGAACCACCAAGCCCTCCCCCCCGGGGGCCTGGAATCCAGAGAGGGGAGCCAACTTTCCCGAAGCCACACAGCAGAGCGGCAGACCAGCCGCGGGAGCCCGGAGCAGACTCAGGCCTCACCCCCCACACCAGCTCACTCCAGGGAGACGGTGTGGAGGTCCCCTAGCCCTGCCTGTGCTGAAGCCAGCTCTTCCACACCCGCCCCATCCTCTGACGTCCCCCCACTCTCGTGCACCTGAGCACCTGTGGATCCTCGGGCACGGTGCCAACACCACCCTGGCACCCCGAGACCGCCTCTGCCCCGGGCGAGACAGTAACACACCCCGGAGATTGCGGCTGGGGCCCTCAAAACCCCCACCTCACCGGCCACCGCCTCCCCTCCCTGCTTGTCTGCACCCCTCCCCCACAGGCCTCCGCCGCATCCCCCTCCCCAGCCTCAGGCCCGAGGAGCCCCCTCTGGGGTTCCATTGGCTAACAGGCACTCCTGCTCCTGCCTGCGGGCTGGAGACAGGTGCTGAGCCGGCCTCACACTTGGTTTTCATTAAGGCCCAGACGCCGCTGGCTGCGGGCCAGCCCCGGCGCATGCGGGATCCAGCCCTCCCTGGGGTCCAAAAACAGCCACCAGCCAGCGGGAGAGGTTCGCCAAGGAGAGCCTCAGTCACCCGAGGCTGGAAGCCGAGGGCCACCCTCAACGTGCCCCGCGGGTCCAGACCCCTCCCCACGGGCCCTCCCCCTGTTACGTAACCACGGCCGAGGGGGCTGGGGGATGCTCCCACCTCTGGGCTGCCTGTCGCACCCGGCCGGCCGCAGTGGGACGCAGGACGGCTGGAGGCGACCTACCTGCCCCGGTGGGTCGGCAGGTTGTCCTCCTGGAGCGGGGGGCTGAGCGGCGGGGGCAGCCGGCGCCAGGTGCACTGCGGGCGGCGGGGCTGCCTCTCCCCTCGCTCCTGCACCCCGCCTGGCCTCCTCCACTTCAAAGAGCACCCACGAGAGGGGGTTCCCAGGGAGGTGCACAGCCCAGGCGGCTCCGCGGCGCGGCCGCCTTTATAGCTGTCAGGCAGACTGGGAGGATCTCACACTTCCCACCAGGCTGCTCCCCCGCCCGCGCCGCCGGCCTGGCGCACACTTTAACCCGCTCCGCGCCTCTGGAGCCGCGCCAGGCCGGCCCAGCTGCCTGCTGGCGGCGGCCCGGCCCAGGAGCGGTGAGCAGGGAGGCCGCCTGCCCGTGTCCAGGGCTCAGGGTGGCGTGCCTGGGTGTCCAGACAGAGGGACCTCTAGCCGGGGTCACAGTGGAGGCCTGGCCTCTGCCTGTTTCTGCCCCCAGAGGGGCCCCGTCCCGGGCACCCCCGGGGCAGCCCAGGGCATCCAATACACACGGCCTGACGGCTCAGTTTCACAGGTGGGAAGACCGAGGTCCAGAGGGGACACCACGCTCTGAGGTCACCGGGGCAGGCTCCACAGGGGTCTCCTGGGAAGCAGAGGCCTGTGCAGGGGGAGGAGCTAAAGAAGACCCAGGAGGGCTCCACCCAGGACTCCAGGGAAGGGACCGAAATGGCCACAGCCCGCTGACCAGATGGCCGAGATGCCCAGGGCGCGCGGGGGCAGGCGCGGGGAGCTGTGCGGATGTTGGACGGCAGCTTGGTGGGGCCCGCGGCTGCGCCGGGCCCGAGCCGGCTGGGCAACCCCGGGCGGGCATGGAGTTCCAGACCCGAGTTCCTGCCGGAGTCAGAGCCCAGACTGCGAGATTGCTGCTCTCCTGCTCCCCCAACCCCACCGGGCAGACCCCAGCCCTGCAGGGCTGCCCCTGAAGCCAGGCGGGGACCACCCCCTTGTACTCCGGGCCACCCAGGCCCACCCTCTGGAACACAGAGACCCCTCCAAATGGCACGGGGTGGGGGGCAGCCCTCGGGCAAGCCCCCCGAGCCGTTTCACCCATCGCCCTGCTCAGCCCCGCAGTGGCCCTGGGAGAGCCCCCGCCCTCTGTGCCCGGAGCCCACCTGGTGGCCTCCCTCAGCGGCCTCCTCGCCCCTGAGAAGGGTCCCACCCTGGCAAAGCTCTGCCTGGGCCGTGGCTACCAGCAGGACTGACGGGGTGAAGGGCAGCCATCAGGAACCCCTGTACCCCACCTCTCTGTGCCCAGAGCAGCTAAGCCACCAACTCTGTCACCTTCACTTCACAGATGGAGTGACTGAGGCTCCAAAACTGAGTGACGTGCCAGGCCACACACCTGGCAAGGGGCACCTGGGGGAGCCCAGCGCTCCCGCTGGCTGCCCCTCTCCATCGGCGGGCCTGGCCTCTCATCCCCCCCAAACCCCCACTCCCCGAAACCCCAGGGGGGCGGGTCTTGGTCATCTTGCTCTCCCAGGGCCCCGGGGACAGTCAGTGGAACCCAGACTTGAGCCCAGGCCCACACCACCCCCTGCACTCGGTGCGCTGCAGCGCAGACAGGCCGGGCACGCGCTCCCGACCCCTGGCAGATGTGGGTGGGTGAGGGCAGGCCACTCTCGCCCCGGGAGCCTCGCCCAGGGCCCTGCGCCCAGCACCTGAGCTCCCCTTCCGGCCAACAGCAGGGTGCCTACTGGGGGGGGGGGCCACAGCCACCTGCCTGCCCACCGGGCGGAGTCTGGGAGACAGGCCTGCCCCCCAGCGCCCCCCTGCTTGGGGACCTCCCGCAGGTGAGTGGCCCTGGGCCTGCTGCCCTCCTCCCCCACAAGTGCCACCAGGGAGCCCCCAAACTCCAGACCCTCAGGGAGCCTGGGGAGCTACTTGAACCTCTGGTGGCCTGGGCATTTCTGGGAAGACACCAGGAGCCAGGAAAGCCTTCTGGGGAGTCTGAAACCCTGGGAATTTCGGGGACAAAGAGCGAGGGCCCGGGCGTAGAGCCACTGTCCGCCCTGCAGAGAGAGGGTCGGCGCGGCCCTCCTGCAGACAGGCCGGGGACACCCCGGGGACCCATCTCCTGGGCCTGGCCAGGCTTCTCGGGCAGAAACCCGAAGTGCCCGGGGCCTCCTGGCCGTCCGCCCCGCAGGTGACCAGACGCCAGCACAGCCATGCTCACGGGGGCCCCGCGTGGGGTTCAGGGTCTGCAGCCGCCACACTGGAAGCCTCGGTAGCGTCATCCCGAATTCGTGTCCTGGAAGCCACACCTGGGGGAGCGGTGGAGCCTCGGCCCCTGCAGAGCAGGTCCTCGGCTGCTCTCTGCCCCCCAGGGACCCGGGACCCCCTGAGTCCTGAGGTGGGCTCCCAGCCACTCAACCTGGGTGCGTCCTTGAGCCCAAAGAAGAGAGAATTAACATAAAATACGCCCCCGCTGGTGTGGCTCAGTGGGTTGAGCGCCGGCCTGAGAACCAAAGGGTTACCAGTTCTATTCCCAGTCGGGGCACATGCCTGGGTTGAAGGCCGGGTCCCCAGTAGGGAGCACATGAGAGGCAACCACACACTGATGTTTCTTTCTCTCTCTTTTTTATTTAAAATAAATAAATAAAATCTTTAAAAACGCAGGTGGGGGACTGAGGCAGGCTCAGGGAGCGGGGATGGGTCAGGAGCGGGGCACAGCGGGCCACGGGATGGGCGGCCCAGGCCCACACAGCCCAGAGCAGAAATCATAAGGCCCCCAGACGCGGTGCAGAGCCGGTGGGAGGAGGGTCCCCCCGCCCCGGCATGCAGAAGCCGGCCTCCACCTGCACCCCCGAGGGCCTGCCTGTCCTCTCTGCTGAGTCCCAGGGCCTGGGACAAGCACCCGACAGGGACTGGGCCACCAAGGAAGGACTTGGCCGGGCCCGAGACGGCAGCCCCAGCGGCCCACCAACCCCTCCCCACGAGCTCCCAGCCCGGGCCCAGGGCCGGACCCTCAGGAAGAAACCCCGGCGCTGGAGGTGGGAGCCTGACGGGGACCCTTAGTCTCCTCCGGTCCTGCCGTCTCAGCCAGGAGCTCTATCAGGCCCAGTGCCGGAGTTCAAGTGTGGGGACTCAGGGGGTGAGGGACACTCTCACCCTCAGAACCTTCAAGAAAGAGGCTCTTTTGTCCCCAGATCTAGAGCAGGGAGAAACCGTGGGAAGCCCTGGCGCGGCTGGGCCATCAGCTTGCTGCCGGAGAGGGGCCGGCAGGCTGGCCGGGACTGTGTCTGTGGGGCGCCCAGGGCCTGCCCGGGTAGTCGCACCAACCCGGCTGCCGGCGTAGCTCCGGCAAGGACAACCGGGAGTCCGGTGTCACTCAGGTGAGCCTGCAGGAGCCCGCGGGCCAGTCTCCAGCCCACAGAGGTTCCCCGACTACACACCTGTAGTGTGTAGTGTGCAGGCCAAGGACGGGTTGGGTCCCCAGGGTCTCTGTCCCCTCTCTGCCTCACCCTCCTCCACGCGGAAGTAACAGACCGTGTGAATGGCGGGGCCCAGGTCCTGCTCTGGGTTCACGGGCAGCCCCTCCTCTACACATGCTGGGGAGGCCACACCCCATACCATGAGCACCCCCAGGGTGCTGCGAGGGCGCCCTCCGGGGATTTTCTGATGGACTCTTGGAGCTGACTTCCCGGAGGCCCAGCCCACTCAGCTCCCACTGTGGCAGGGACCGAGCAAGCCACGTCTACAGGCCAGGGCTCGAGGCTCAGGTAGCGGGGGCCCAGCAGGCCCCTGGGCTGGGAAGGGGCAGGGCGCCCCACCCGGCTCACCTGGCAGGTTTGCAAGAGCCGGGGCAGCCTGAGCTCCGGACGTTCGGCCAGCAGCTGAAGACACCGCCTGGTGACCATCGTGAGGCCGGTTGCAGACACACAGATGCGCCGGTCACATGCACAAGCCAAAGGCCACAGGCTGCAGCCCAGGCCAGGGACCCTGTGGAAAGGGCTGTGGGGCAACAAAGCCCAGACCGCTACCCACCAGGCGCAGGGGCCCCGACGCAGGAGCCCCTGGGGCCTCTGTGCTCCGGGGTGACCAGCGCTGTGGGCTGGACGTGCAGGCCCAGAGGACGCGGAGGCAGCAGCCGGCCCGGCAGGCCTGGGCCGGGCACAGCAGACAGGCAGCTGTCCCGGGGGCGGGGGCATTCCAGGCATTTCGGCACCTCCACAAACCGGGCTTTGCTGGCCAACAAGGGTGAGACGAGGGGGCACAGGCAGGTGGGCCCCGCGCCCGCTCCCCACGTCGCAGCTGCCCCACCCGGGGCACCCCCAGCCAGGACTGGCCCCTGCTGGGTCCTCATGGGACTGATGCCACCTGCTGGGCAGAGCGGGGAATGCCACAGGGCCCGGGGGGCTGGGAGGGGAGGCCAGGCCGCTGGGTCTGAGACGCCAGCCCCCGTGGGTCCTGGGCTAGGAATGGGTGGCCGGGGCCTGTCTTCGCACCTCTCTGGGCCTCGGTCTCCCCCTCGGTGACATGGGGAGAGCGGGGGACCTGCCCCGCCCCTGGCTGCTGACCGGGCCCAGCGGGACAGAGGAGGAAGAAGGCTTGGCCCGGAGCCCGGCACACGGCCAGCAGTGAATAAATGTCTGTGTGTGTAAGTGGTTTTCAAGACACACACGGGGCCGTGGGGGTTAGGAGAAGGGGAGACACGCCCTGCCGGGGGTCAGGGGAGGCGGAGGGCCACATCCGAGCAGGGAGGCGAGCTGGGCGGGGGCGCCGCCGGTGGGGTCTCCTTTGGCCGCAGCAGGAGCAGGTGAGGTGGGGTGGGGGTGGGGACCATCGGAGGCAGCTGGCAGGCGGAGGCCGCAGATGCACGGGGCGGACAGGGGCTGCCAGCTCACGTCCCCACTGGCTCGGCGCCTGCCCAGGTTGAGTCGGCTCCCGGCCCGGCCCGGGCCCGGCCCCCCACCCTGTGCCTCCGGAGGCAGCGCCACCCCCAGAGCAGCTGGCCTGTCTCTTCCCCTCGCTCTCCCCCGGTCCCAGCTCCCCGGGCCAATAGCTTCCCCTGCTCCAGGGAGAGCCGAGGGTCATTTCAGTCCTGGTCGGAGCTGGACGCCTCTCCCCAGCCAGCTGGTCTGTCTCCTCGCGGCCAGGTCTCAGAAGGGAGTCACACTCGGGTCGCCCCCACCCCCATTCCGCGCCCCGGCTCCCCACTCCAAACGGCAGCTCACAGCCTTCCTGCAGGGCCTCCCAGGCCACCCCGGGCCCGGCCACCTGTCTCCCCACTCTGGGGCAGTCTCTCCTCAGCCCCCTCCTCCTTAATCACCCAAACACACGGGCAGCCAACCACTCTGGCCTTCCTCCACCCCCCCTCCTCCGGCTCCTCCCCTCCAGTTTACAGCTGAAACGCACACACACACACTCATGCACAAAACCAACTGTGGAATGTTTCCCTGCTTCTGAGTGGGTTTACGGCTCCAGAGAGTTCTCGGCTCACACCTGGCATCTAATCGCATTTCCTCCCCACACGTGGTCCGCTCCTACTGGGAGCCAGGGTGGGCCGGGGCCCGGCTGGGGCGGGGGGTGAGCAGGAGCTGAGGGGCAGAGAGCGGGGGGCAGGGAGGATCAGGGCTCCCTGACAGGCAGAAGGGGGGCGCCTGCCTCTCACCCCGAGCCACACGCAGGGTAGGGTCTGGTTCCCCATTTGGAAAGGGGACTGAGCTCCAAAGCACCAGACCAAACTGCTCGGTGCCCACCCGCCCCTCCCGGAGTCTCGTCCACTCTTTTCACAGAGTCAGTCATTCAGCTGTGCCCGTTGGATGCCTGCCAGGGGTCGGCTCGGGCGCCGAGGGCCACGGCAGTGAGCGGGCTGGCGAGCCCAGCGCGGTCACAACCGGAGCAAGCCCAGGGCCACAGCTCTGCCAGCGGTGGGCACTGGGGCAGGAGCCCGACGTGGTGGGGAGCCTTCCCTCCAGGCAGACGGACGTCCTCGAAGTGGAGGCGGGAGGCTGGTGGAGATGGGTGTGCCACGGGCCGGGGGCGGGGCGGCCGCGAGCAGGGCAGAGGGCCCAGGGGTCTCCGGGAAGCTCGGAGCTCGCCCCCAGAGCTACGGGGGCTTGGCAGGCGCTGAAGCCGCAGGACGGTGAGGGCAGATGTGCTGCGCAGGCCCACTCATGGCGGACAGCAGAGACGCTCCGGCCAGCTCCAGACACACAGATTTCTGGAAAGGTGCACGGCACTCCCAGAGGGAGGGGGGAGCCGCCAGGCCCAGACGGAGCCCCGGACAGGCCGCAGCCCCTGTCTGTGGCGCTGAGAGGAGCCAGCACCTCTGGCCTCGCTCCGGCTGTCCCCGCGCGCCAGGCTCCATGCCCAGGGGACAGACTCTGCACACAGCAGACCCCTGCCGGCCCAGCGACCACAGGAATGAGCCACTGGACACTATGTGGGGGGGACGTCAGGGATTTGCAGCGTAAGAATGCAACCCCCCAAACACGCACTGTCCCTGAGTGGGGCGTTCCAGAACAGGCAAGGCCGGCAGCCATGACCGAGCACCTCTGCTGCCCGAGTCCCTCACACAAGGGACACCCCAGGGTGGTGGGGACGGTGTGGTGGTCACATGCCTGTGTGCACTTGCCCAAAGTCATCGAGCTGCAGGCTTCAGATCTGTGCCTGCGGTCACATGTGACGTCATCACAGCACCCTGTCACAATAAAAAAGAAAGACGTGGGGACAAAAGCCGCTCTGCGGCTGAGACAGACCCACCAGTGGCCCAGGCACCCGGTCGTTCCAGGGAGGGGCTCCGCCTGGGCGGCCCACACACGCCCCTCATTCCTCCGCCAGAGAACCAGGGGCCCCTGCCTGGCAGCTCCCCCAAGACTCTTGCAAGAAGGGAAGGGAACTTCCGGGAGGCCAGGAACTCTGAGAAGGCGAGCAGCCCCCTCACCGCCGCCCGGTCTGTGGCCTTCCTGTGCGAAACAAAGTAACGAAGCAGCACTGGGTGTCGGTTTGGGAGTCTGGCCACCAGGGAAACCCAAGTGGGGACGAGCCAGCGAGTGAGAAGTGCGCGGGGGCCGCGAACACGTGGAACCTACCCTCGGGGTCCTTTCCGTGCTTACACGCGGCTCAGCCCGGGTTCTCTCACCTCTCGCTGCCGCAAACAGGTGGCTCCAGCCCGGGCCCCCCGAGCCCCCCATCTGGGCTCCCAGGGGCCCCGGGAGAAGAGGGTCAGGGTGGGGAGTGGGGGAGGCTGGAGAAGGTGCTGGGGGGGGGGGGGGGGGGGGCTTTCTCCTCCCAGGCTGCCGCCTCGTAAACAGAAGTGGTCTCCTCCAGTTAACTCCTACCGCTCGAAAAGCAAAAATACGAAACTGGAACCTGAGAGACAAGTGCTGGTCACGTGGCGTGTCAGCTGTCGGACCCTCTGCTCGCGCCGCCCGGCGTGGGCCCTCAGATCCCGGCCTCGCGGGCGGGCGTGCACAGCACAGCTGCCCTCGGAGCCTCGCCCGCCGCGGGCTGCCCTGGCCCTGGGACCCGGAGGCCTGCAGCCACTCCTCCTCCCAGCCGGTGCCTTCCTCCCCGGCCCATGGGGACACTCGTGGCCAAACTGCTCCTGCCCACCCTCAGCAGCCTGGCCTTTCTCCCCACCGTCAGCATTGCTGCCAAGAGGCGCTTCCACATGGAGGCCATGGTCTACCTCTTCACCATGTTCTTCGTGGCGGTGAGTCTGGGCGGGGGCCTGGGGGGCTGTCCTCCCCCTCCGTCCTGCATTTTGTGCCGAAGAAAAGTGGTTTCCAAGTGAAAGAAAAGCCCAGAGACCAGGAAAGGGGGTGGGGGTGCCACTGCACCCCTCTGGGCCTCAGTTTCCCCGCTGGCACCCGGCGGTCCCTCCGGGGTCTGTGACTGAGGCCCCACGGTGGCCCAGGTTCGGTCCGTGGAGGACGAGCCCCTTGGGGCGCCCTCTCCTTGCCACTGGCCGGCCGGCCACGTCAGGCCACTGTGGCACCAGGGCCCCCTCCCCCACTCCTCCCCCAGCAGTAAGAACCGGGCGGCCGAGCTGGGAGGGCTGAGTGAGCCGGGCCCGGGAGGGGCCGGCAGGCTGGGGGCCGTGCAGGGCCCACGAGTCCGACTGCAGAGCCCGGAGCTGGCCCCCGTTCCTGTCCGGCACCTGCCTCTCCTCCTTTGGGTCCTTCCTTCTCTGTTTACGTGTCTGGGGGACCCTCTCAGAGCCCCTGCGCCCCACCCCGTTTCCCTGTGCGGCTCTTCCCCTCTGTGTTTCTCTTACTGGTTTTCTCTGTTTCTCTCTGTATCTACATTTTCTTTCTTTCTCTTCATCTGTGTCTGGTTTTCTGCCGCTGCCAGGAAGCCCACCCCCATCCCCTCTCTAGCTGTGTTCCTTGGACCCTTGGAGTGTCTTTCTGCCTCCATCTATCCCTCTAGCTTCTGTCTGTCTGTCTGTCTGTCTGTCTGTCTGATCGATCACCTGTCTGCCTCTCTAGGGATCCTTGGGTGGAACCGCATTCCCGGGGGCTCAGGGCCCCACCTCTGGGTGGGAGAGGCCTTAGCTACAAGGGCACTGACCATGAGCCAGCGTCCCGGGTGGGGGTTTGATGGGTGCCTCGTACACGTGGGCCTGGCTAGGTTTCTCCGCGCCCCGAGGGCCTGGGACTGTGAGGGGCTCCTTTGCCAGGCAAACACACCAAGTCCTGGGGGAGCTGAGAGCGTGCACCCAGGAAGCGCCGGGTGCACTCTCAGCGCCTGGCTCACTGGCGGCATTTTGTGGAAAGCCCTTCCATGCCCCTCTCAGGGCCCGGCCTGGGCGGGGAAGTGGAGGCACTGAGTGGACACAGGACGAGGTGTCAGGGCGGGGACAGGAGCCAGGGGTCTGGTCCCCCAGGCCCACACAGGACCCAGCCCGGGACTCCTCAGGCACCACCTGTCCCCCCCAGGGCCGGGCTGGTCCCGCAGCTGCCTCCCCGCCACCCTCAGAGGCCTGCCCTGCCCCTGCCCCGCCCAGAGTGGCAGGGCCAGCTGCCTCCTGCGACAAATGTCTTCAGGCCTCAAAGCCACTCCCAGCCCCTTTCTCCAAGAACCTCCCCGCCACCCCCCCGGCATCACCATGAGATCTGCCTGTGTCCTCACCAGGACCCTCCAGGACAAACACCATTTCCAGGCCAGACTCCATGCTGTCTGTCGCCCAGAGTCCCTCGGCCCCCGCCACGGAGAGGCTTGTCTTGTCCCCGTTTGACAGAGGGGCCAGAGCAGTCAGCCACTTGCCTGGCCTGCACGGCAAGGACCCTCTGGGTCGGCCTCTGAAGGCCATGCGCTGGCCCACAGCCGCCCCCGGCCAGTGCCCTCCCTCCACTGAGCCTGCCCCCTGCCCCCAAAGCTGGTAGAGGCCTCAGCTGCCTACCTGTCCAACGCAGGTGAGCCAGACAGGGGCCCCGAGCGGGGCTCCCGGACCAGCTCTCCTTAAACCACTCTGGGTCCCGCCCCTGGGCCCCACCTCCAGGGCCCTGCCCCCCACCGGAGAGGCTTGCTGAGCACCAGCTGCAGGGGCCCACCATGGCCAGGAGGAGGTAGGCACATTCCTGCTCTGGGTGAACTCAGAGCGATTCAGTCTGTAGGCGTGTGCAGGGGTCTGTGCCACAGAGGAGAGGGGCAGGGTACAGGGCAGTGGGCAAGGAGGCTGGGTGGGGGCGGGGGAGATGGGGTTCTAGGAGGAGCAGGGGTGCAGGAGGGCATCCCTGTCACTCATTGGTCCTGGCTTGGCCTAGAGCCATGGGGAAGGCCAAGCATCCTCCTCTGGCCTCTGTGCCATGGGGATTGTGCCCCTTGATCAGACCCCACCTGAAGCTGCCATTTCCCTAGCTACTCAGACACAGCCACTGCCTGCTTGCCCCCCAGCCTCCTCTTTGCCCACATCACCTCAAACAGTGCAGCTTCCAGAACAGCACTGGACAGGGCTGACAAGAGCCACAGGGCGGTCTCCACTGCGCCGGGACACACTGCCCCCAGCAGGCCCTCCCGGGTGCCGCTGCAGCCAGCAGGAGCTGGGAGCCCATCCCCACGGGCCCCACGCACCGGGCAACCCCAAGCCGTCCTGCGGCCCCCTCCCTCCTGCCGGGCCAGGCTCATCAAGGGTCCATTGTGCTGGTCCCTGGCTTGTCTGTGCCATGGGGCTTGTCAAAATAATTATGTCATGTAATTAAATATTGCGTAGCATGATGAAATGTGTACACGAGAGGGGAGTTGTTTTCTGTCAGAAAGAAGGTGACAGCTTCGGATACACTCCCCGAGGGCTCTTCGCTTTAGGGTCTGGTCCCCGGTCGGGGCGCCCCCAGGGATCAGCCCGTGAGAGTGCCGTGAGCGGCGTGTGTGTCAGCATCTCTCTCTCTCTAAATGCATTTAAATTGGACTGGTGGGACAACTGTAAAGATGCAGGGTCGCTGTGTTCGGCACGCGCTTTGCAGGCTTCCCGCACTTGAAAGAAACAGACGCTGAGAACTGCAGGTCACTGGTTCTGAGCCGGTTCCCCGCCGGCAGCCCCAGCACCAGCCCCAAGCCCCGACCCAAAGTCAGATCTCCGAGACCGCCCCTGACCTGCCTCGTCTTGGGGTCTCTCGGGGACAGACGGTCAGAGGCCTGAGGCTCCACAAGCCCAGTCGGGTCTGAGAAATCCCACTGAGGGGCTAGGGGCAGCCTAGTCACCAAAGGGGTGAGCTGTGGAGGGAAAGGCACCCCAGGCTGCTGAAGAGCCCACTGGCACCACCCCCCCCCAAAAAAAGGCATTGGCCTCACATCCAAAGGTCAGGGAGAGGGACCTGGCTCAGAGACCCCGGTGTGGAGGGGACCTCTGCAGGATTTGTCGGAGTGACCCCCAGCTCCCGGCCACATGACCCTCCGGGGGCAGCCACCAGCCGGACCCCCGCTTCACAGAGGCAGCCATGCAGTGACTTTGCCCGGGGTCTCCCAGCCCAGCAGGGCCCGTCACTGACTGGCCCGGGCCTCCCGGCAGCTCTCCCATGCCTGCGACGGGCCCGGCCTGGCGGTGCTCTGCTTCCTGCGCCGCGACATCCTGGAGTACTTCAGCGTCTACGGGACGGCGCTCAGCATGTGGGTCTCTCTGATGGGTGAGTGGCCCCCGCCCACGCTCGGAGAGCCCCCTCCTCCCCGGGGCTTCGGAGGCAAGCCTAGTCTCTGGAAGGAAGCCCCAGTTCTCCGAGGCCCGGATTCCCATTTCTCACGCCCTTTTTAAAGTGCACACCCGACAAGGGTCTGTGATGACCACTTTACGCGGCGGAGGGAGGTGTAAGAGCGCTCCGCCCGCCCCCTCTGTCTTCCACCTGGAGGACACCTGCTGGGCGTCGGGGTGCACCCCCAAGACCTGGCTCCACGCGCCTGACCTCGCGGTCTTCAGCTCCGGTTTGTGTGAAGGCGGGCTCGTCCCAGCACTCGGGGTCCTGCAGCCCTGTCCCACTTGCCACCGTCTGAGGTGCAGTCAGGACACGGTCCCCGTTGCACGGGCCTCCTGCCCGTGACAGGCCCCGTGGAAGCCCCGACGTTTCTCACCTGCCTCTTCCTCCTCGCGGCCCCATGCAGCGGCTTCTTTTCCAGCCCTGTGGCATTGTCCCCGGGGAAGCGGCAGCCTGGCTCCGCCCTCAGGCATCCAGGCCTCGGGGGCACCAGGTGGCACCCGGGGTCCCACTGGCCGTGGGGCGGGGCTGCCAGCCACAGCTAGGCCCCCACCGGACGCCTCCGGGAGAGCAGTGGCCAGGGGCAGGGGTCGGGGGCGAGGAGGCCACTCGCCTCTCCCGGTGTCTGTCCTGGCCCCTCCAGCGCTGGCCGACTTCGACGAACCCAGGAGGTCCACGTTGGTGATGTTCGGCGTGCTGACCATCGCCGTCCGCATCTACCATGACCGCCAGGGCTACGGGGTATACTCGGGCCCCGTGGGCACAGCCGTCCTCATCATCACAGCCAAGTGGGTGCGTACTGGGCAGCCCTCCGCAGATGGGCCCTTCCCCCGTGTCTCCCTTCCCTCCCACCTCACGGGTTGGCTGGCGGCCAGACGCAGCTCCAGCCCAAACACGGGGCCCAGCCGCACAGGTGCAGTCTGTGCGCATCTCGGCCTGGGCTGGGTCCCTGGACCTCTCTGCCTCAGTTTCCGTATTTGTGAATGGGCATTATAGTCCAATACCCCCCTCACAGGGCAAACGTTTTAAAGGCGTTATTTATTTATTTTTAGAGGGAGGGGAAGAGAGGGAGAGAAACATCAATGCGTGGTTGCCTCTCTAGTGCCACCTACTGAGGACTAGGCTCACAACCCAGGCATGTGCCCTGACCAGGAATCGAACTGGTGGCCCTTCAGTTCACAGGCCAGTGTTCAGTCCCCTGGACCACACCAGCCCGGGCAATGACGCATCTTAAGTACTGACTCAGAACTGGCTTCTAATGTGCTCAGCCAGTAAGGGCTATTTGTTGTCGTCACTGAAAAGAATGGCTGGTTTGGAGATGTAATATCAATTCAAGATGGCTGGGGTTAATCTGGGAAGACTTCCTGGAGGAGGTGGGCCTTCAGCGTGGTTCTGATGAGGAGGGAGGATGTGGTGTGAGCTGGACAGGAGCCGGACCTGCTCGTGAGTGTTGACTCAGGAGCCTCCGGTGCCGATGGGCACCCACGGGCCGACGCCCACGAGGCCCTTACACACAGTCCTCAGGCCCCTCAAACCCTCTGTCGCCCCAGGACCTTCCTGGCTTCAAGGACCAGGACCCCTTCCCACTAGCCCAAGCTAATGAGGGACACTGAGGCAGGACGGACACAGTGACACTCCCGGGGCCCCCAGAGCAAGCGAAGGAGCCTCGCCTGACAGGACGCTGAGCCCAGGCCTGGCAAGAGGAGGCCATTGCTCATGGGAGGGGTCGGCTGGGCCGGGCGTGCGGACGGTGCGCACAGCCCGTTGTCCTCACTCGGGAGGGTGAACGAGATTCGGCGGTGAGCCCTCCACTCTCGGCCGCGCCTCCCTGCAACCAGGAGCAGGGGTTTGCTCTGCCCTGGGGCTGACGGAGGGATAAGGCGCAGAGAGACCCTCACGTCAGCTAGAAGTCGCAGCAGGGTGGTCCGAGGCCAGGCCTTGGCCTTGGCAGCCAGAGAAGAGACACAGGGTCTTGCCCACCCCCACTTGGGAAAGACACACTGGCCCTGGGTGGGTGCAGGGGGCCCCCGAAGCTGCCTGTGAGTGTGCTCATCCGATGCCCCGGCCCTGAGGAAGGACCAGGTTGAGGAAGGACCGAGTTGAGGAACATGCTGGCACTTGACGGCACAGAGCCCTGGGCTCTGACCAGGTGCCCGCTGGGCGGGATGCGGGGCAAAGGTTCCCGGTCTGGCCTGGAGGGCTGCTCGGCCCCGGTCTCTGTCGCTCGGGATCTGGGCTGCATTTCAATCGTCCAGAAGAGCAGGCGGCCACTCGCTGACATCCGCACGACGCTCCCTGGGCCTGCGGACCCGGCCACTGAACCTGGAGGGCGGCCTGGCTCCCTGAGCCTGGGGCTCAGCCTGTGTTTTCTAGACCATTGAACGTGGAGTTTACTTTGGATTTCCGGGGGCAGCTGTTTCCAGGAAGGAGGGTGGCTGTTCCTCCGGGAGGCGCATCCCTTCTCCAGCCGGGCGTGGGGGTGGCCGTCGCCTGGGCGAGGACCAGGCAGAGGTGTGCACGGGCCGTTGGCTGGGCCAGGGCGTGACCTCGGGCAGGTGCAGGGCCAGCGGCCGGCGGAGTGTTCCCGGGCCACAGCAGCCACACCTGCGAGCCGCCTGCACCGGTGCAGGTCCCAGTTCCTCACGGGCCGCGGCCGGGTCCAGGGAACTTGACACTGAACTGCGTTCCTTCGCTCACTTGGGGGCACTCTGCAGACACCATGCAGGGCCTGCGGCCCCCGTGACCCCAGCCGCCTGTCTCGATTCTGCCCAAAACGCCCGTGCCCTGAAACCACGTGGCCACGTAGGGTGTATGTGCGGGGGACATGGGCCCTGGTCACCTCCTCGCGGTCAGTGTATGCCAGTGCATCTTTCTGGACATCAATGCCCACTCAGCACTTGGCACCTGGGAAGCCACAGGTTCGACGTGCTTGTCATGACTGTCTGATCGGTAGGACTGTGTGTCCATCGGCCACGGACGCACCAGAGGCTGCCACGGGCCGCCACGGGCACCCTTGGGTCCACACTGGCGGCAGGCCCAGCACCCCAACACCCCTCAGCTGTGAACAGAGTGTCTAGTCCCCTCGGGGGTCCCCTGTGGCTGGGACAGAGAAATGTGTAGGGGGCTGGTTACATCCCAAACAGGAAGGCGGGGGTCTCAGGCTCAGGGCGGCCGTCCCCAGAGGGACACTGTGACCTGAGGGCCCCTCGTTGCCCCCGTACCCGCAGCTGCGGCAGATGAAGGAGAAGAGAGGCCTGTACCCCGACAAGAGCGTCTACACCCAGCAGATCGGCCCTGGCCTCTGCTTCGGGGCCCTGGCTCTGATGCTGCGCTTCTTCTTCGAGGTACCTGGGGGCGTGGCGTGGCGGGGCAGGGGCGGGGCCGGTCCACAGTGCCGGCCTTCCGGGTGCTGGCGGGCACCTCCCTCCAGCCCTGGCACCACTGACAGAGGGCGGCGGCCCTCACTGCGGGGGGGGGGGGGGACCTGGGAGGGAGAGAGGGGCCTCAGACTCATGGTCAAAGGCAGGCGGACGGCAGGGTCCTCCAGTGCTCCGGGGCTTGGTGGCCGGAGAGACCACCAAGGGCTGGACAGCGGGGGGCAGACAGGCGATGGGGTCAGGAGGAGCCCCCATCTGTGGTGGGGTGGGGCGGAGCGGGCGGTGTCGGGGCTCTGGACGGGAGAGGAACTCGGGGAGCGGGAGAGGAACTCGAGGACCGACCCCTGCCCACCCTGCAGGGCTGGGATTACACCTACGTCCACAGCTTCTACCACTGCGCCCTGGCCATGTGCTTCGTCCTGCTGCTGCCCAAGGTCAACAAGAAGGCCGGGAGCGCGGGGCCGCCGGCCAAGCTGGACTGCCCCACGCTGTGCTGCGCCTGCGTCTGACCACGCCCCGCAGCCTGGCCCCGCCCCGCCCTCCCGCCCCCAGCCCGGAGTGTCCAGATGGAACCCCGCCCTTGCACTCTGCGGGGTGCAGGGGTCCGGGGAGCACCTCCCGAACACCCCCTTACAGAGTTTCTACGGGCTGCCGAGCGCCAGGCAGGAAAGAAAAGGAGCTTCTCGCTCCTGCGGGCTTTAGGCAGGACACACGGGTGTGTGGGCCCCGGGCCCGGAGCCCCCTCTGTCTGTCTGCTCCTTCCCTCCCTCCTCACCTACAAGTCCCAGCCCACTCCCAGCCACCACCGAGGGGCTCTCGTGTCCTCCCCTCGCCATCTGTTTGGAAACTGGCGTCGACACTTCTGTCCCGCGTCCCCAGGCCCTGAACAGGCCCACTTAGGAAGCTGTCCACCGCCCCGGCCTGCCTGCCCTTGGCCACCCCTCCGGCCGGGTCTCTGGATTAAGTTTTCTTGACGACAATAACCAATACGAAGTGCTTCGACTCACTGGCCTCACTGGGAGCCCTCGTGCGTGCCCACTTCCGTCCTCTGAGTCCTGCCCACGGCGCCCCGGCGTGGGCCCGCGGGTCTGGGCGCAGACACCTGGGGGGGTGGCAGGCGGCGGCCCCCGGGCGGGGCCCAGGGGAGGTCGGCCGCCCCACGCGGAGCCTGTCTGCGCCGCCCCGGGGGGTGGCGGGAGCCGCCTGCCAGACATCACCTCACAGACCCGAGCCCACCCCACTTCCCGAGTGGCCCAGGCTCGTCTGTCAGGCAGGAAGTTCCCTGCACCTGCCCTGGGCCTGTTTGTGTTTCCAGACCACGTCCACCCACGTCCACCCCACTGTGGGGCACGGCCGGTTCTTTGTCCGAGAGTCACCTCTGGCACCCCTCAGCTGGCTTTAGGACCAGGGGCTAGGGACAGGGTAGACCCCTTGGCCAGGCGCCCCCACCTGCCGGCCCTTCTGACTGCCCAGGGGCTCCGCATCTCGGGCCCTGGACACCCACGGCCTGGCCCCGGCTCGGCACCTCCCCGTCCTCACAGCCCGTGGCCGGCAGAGCAGCCCACGGGGCTCTTCCCACAGTGCCCGGGCCTCGCCGAGACCACCCACCCAGGCCTGTCCCCGACGCAGGGCCCTGGGGAGCGGGGGAGGCGTGGGGGATGCCCCGCCGGCTGCAGGTCTGCTTGCGGGGTGCACACACACGTACACACTCACGTACACGCACACACCACATGAACAGTGTCCCCCTCTGGCCAGGGGACACTCGAGTCACAGTGCCAGGCTGTGAGGAAAGAGAGGCTCTGGGGCCATGTCGGGGGGACCAGGGTGCGTTCCTCCAGAAACAGGCGGGGGCGAGGCGGCCGCCACACCCCCCTCCCCTCTTTACCCAACACGGCCCGGCCCCCCTCCCCGCCCCCGCCCACCCCGGTGAGCGTGCCCAGCTCCCACCTCTGTGGCAGCACATGGAAAATTGGAAGCGGCGGGATGCTCCCGAGCAGGGAGGAGGCGAGGGGCCTGCCAAGCGTGCACGGCCGTGCTAACAGGCTGCTCACTGTGGCCGCGGTGATTTACGAGGCCGTCTGGGAGCCCGGCCAAGCCTGTGAGTCCTGGACAATTAGGAGGCTCACTCCAGCCCTCGGCCCGTCCGCCTCGGCTCCAGGCCCGCCACGCCCCTCCCAGGCGGGGCCGGCCCCCACAGAGACCCTCGGAGGGCCCCGGGGCGGGGGTGGGGGGCTTGTGTCCACTGTGCAGATGAGGACACTGAGGGCCAGGATATCAGCAGCTGGCCCTCTCCCCTTGGATACCAGCCGCTGGGTTGGTGGCTGTGCCCGGCACCTGGTCGGGCACCCAAAAGGCATGAGCCTCTGGCCCAAAGGCCACTTTGACACCCTGGGGGCTCTGCCTAAGGGCCCAGAGGGGGTGCCAGGCAGAAGGGCCAGAAAAGGAGGAGGCCACCCAGAATGGCCACCCCGATACCTCAAGACAAACGAGGAAGGAGTGCCTTGGCCTTCAAGAGACACACCTGACTGCCACCATCATCCAGCTTTGGGGTCTTCGTGTCCCCAGAACCTCAGGTGCGAGGCCTTCCCCACCCACATTAGGCTCCAGACAGGACTCACGGGGGCCCGGGTCTCAGGGTCTCTGCCGGTGAGAGCCGGAAACGCAGCCCTGGGCCTTCCCGGAGCCCCGAGCAGCGTCGTGCCGAGGCGCCGGGCCGTGACAGTGGCGGCGTAGAGGGGCTGGTGGCTTCGACACGTGGGAACGTGGCCGGTGAGCCGAAGGAGCTGAGTCTCTCCGTGTGCCCCGATCTTACTTCAGGTTTGAACGGCTGCGCGTGCGGGGACGCAGGTGCAGCACAGGCTGCCCCGTTGCTTTTGAACTTCCGACGACCAACAGACAGCGATTTCCCCAGAGTGGGCGCGGTACTGGGGGCCCGCTGACGTGGGACACACCACGGATGCCTCGCCGCCCCCACAGAAGGCCACGGGCTCCAGGGCCCTGCACAGTACTGGGCAGCCCTGCCCTGGCGGCTGGCGGCCACCGAGTGAACGCCGCCACGGCAGGGAGCAAATGGACAGGCCACTCCCTGGGCCCGTGGGTTGGGGACGCTGGGTTACACCAAATGACCCAGGGGGAGGTGCTGCAGGACCCAGTTCTGGTTGTGGCCTCACTGCCAGGACAAGGGAGGGACGAGGATGGCAGGATGGTGTGCCCCACCCCCACCGTGAATCTTGTCTGAACCCGGGGGGGGGCGGGGGGTTGTGCACAGGCCTACAGGAGCCCCCTCGGCCTGGGCCCGGGCCCCACGCCCTGCCGAGCATGGGGCAGAGCCGCCGACGCTCCGGCCCGGCCACACGGACGGGCCCTTGTCCAGTGCACGCCCCTCCCCGCACACGGCCCGGAGCCTGGCCCGGGGAGGGTCTGCGCCGCACACCTCCGGCAGCCGGACGGAGAAGTATTATAAACATTCACAACAAGTAGACAAAACAGTCTATTGTAGCGGCCCCTCTGCCCGCCCCCCACACCCCGCGGGGCGAGGCTGGCATGGCAGCAGGCGCCCTGGGCCCCCGCCAGGACGCCCCGTTTGCGCAGCATGGCGTTTCCGTCTGAGGGCGTCTGCGTGCCGTGGCCTTTGTCTGTCTGCTACTGAAATTTCCTGTCTGTTATTCTCCTCTCCAGCAAGACCATCTGAAACCCAAAACTTTTATTGCCCCTTTTAAAGACGCTTTACAGCTCCCCGGCCGCCTCCAACCCCGCGCCGAGCTGGACCTGCTGCCGTTGCCATCACGGCGAGCGCTGAGCCTCGGAGGGAGGAGCCCCCGGGGAGCGGGGCCAGGCCTGCGGGCACCGCAGCCGCCGAGCCCAGGAAGCCCCACGGGGCGAGGCCGGCTGGCTGCTTAGCTGACTCGCTGGCTAACAAAGCTGGCTGAGCACCAGGTCCCCTGCCAGGCTGTTGGCCTGGCCGCCCCCTCGCTGCTCAGTGCCCCGGCATCATCTTCACCCCCGGTCTCCTCCCCTCTGACCGGCGGCCGCAGCCTCTCCTGCGGTCCACTCAGGCCCATCGGGGTGAGTTAAAGCAGAGGTTGGCTAGACCGGACATTCTTGGGAGAGTGGAAAAGCCAGAAAAAGGGGGCGGGAGGCCAGGGTGGGGGCCGAGGGGCCGGGGGTCAGGTGTCCGGGGCCAGAAGCAGGCGTGGGGGCCAGACAGGGCTGCCTGGCTTCTCCCAGTTCTCTCAGCCTCAGTTTCCCCCTTTGTAACAGTGTCCACCTCCCGTGGGTGTCTGCCAAGGTTAAACGAGATGACGGAATCCAAAGCGCTTTGCACCATGTTTTATAAATAGCATTTTTTAAAAATAGCGTCATTATTATTTGCAGCGGTCATGGCGGGCAAGGGAGTCTCTAGAATGTCCCAGAAGGCGCCTCACGTCAGGGGACACTCGCCCCAGTTATGGGACTGAAGACTTCCATTTGCCAAGGGAACAGGGTGCTGAAGCGCCATGTTTGGTATGGACTAAGGAATTAAGCGAAGAAGTCTGTCTGGAAGAGGCAGGCTGGAGCCTGAACCTAGAAAAGCAACGGAGACCGAGCCGCGTGAGCCAGCGGATGCCCGGCTCTCGGGACTCGCCCTCGACGGCCTCCCAGAGCTGTGGTTCCAGGTCTGACCATCTGCTGTGCCCCACCCTGCCGCCTCCTGCGGCCTCCCGTCCGAGTGGCGGGAGAGCCACGCCGCCCACGCAGAGAAGGGCGTCAATGGCCAGGCTGTCCTTGTGTCTGTCTCTGGCACGTGTCCCAGGACAAACAGAGGCGGGTGTGGGCAGAGGCGTCCCTCCCTGTCCTCCCTCAGGGGCGAGGGGACGAGCCCACAAGCAGACTTCGGGGGTGGGTGCGAGCGGGCTTCCCCGCCCTGGCCTGGCACGGCAGCAGGACAGTCCTTCCCCCCGAGCTTTTTGCGCCTTCCTGTCAAGTCACCGCGTCCTCGCTGGGTCCCAGTCTGCCCCTGGTGCCTGGCCTGGCCCAGCAGGAAGCAAGGGGCGCGGCCCCTTCAGGGCCCGGCTTGCACATCGCCACCCTCCTGGGTGGTCCCTGGGGTGCCAGGGCTTCCGAGCTTGCACAGTGGGGGGCAAAGCAGTGACAAGGACGGGGCGGGGGTGCCGGCCTGAAGGAGAGGGGTGACGGTTGGGGGGGGCTGCAGGGGCCGAAGGGGACCAGCGGTCAGCTGGGCCTCCGGGTGACAGAGGGTCGTCATGTTGTGGGAGGGTGTTAGGAAGGGTGGTCTTGAGGTCGGGTCCCACCGCTGTGACGAGGGGCAAAACTCAGGGAAGAGACCAGAGGCTGCTACCGGCAGGAGGGACAGTGAGCCAGGAGGGGACGGTGAGAGGGGCAGGCGGTGGCAGCCACACAGCTGGCTCAAGGAGCCTCGCCGGCCCCCCGGCTGCTTGGGCTTCCACAGGGAGCCAAGGGTGGAGGCTGGTGGTGCCCAGAGCGCCTGCAGCCTGGTGAGCCTCAGCCT